TCCAGCTAAGTGATTTTATATGGTTGCTATTTTTCCGATTCTTTATTTTATCATAATCTATTGTTTAATGTCACAGCTGGTGTTCATATGTATTTCAATAAATTATCCATTTTGCTAACCAAAATAGTTACAAGAAAAAGAAACTGTTTTTAAACATCTATGTCCATTTTTAGACGTAATTTAAAATGACCTACCCACTTGCAGGACTGGCCTGGGGGCCCCCAGGCCTGGGAAGGTGCCAGGCCAGTTGCAAGCCCCGCCCCCCTTCCCTTCGGCTTTGATGTTACCTGTGACCGCAGGGAGCTGACCCTCAGGTCCCAGACCCTCCCCTCTGCTCTCTCCTCAGGCCGCCCGCCTTCAGTCCCCAGGAATACAGCCCCGATTTCAGCTGGCGCAGACCAGCCCCGAAGAGGTTCGGATTCTCCTGCCAGCAAAGGCCGGGGCTCAGAGGTCGCACATCTTTCAGTCTGAACTCAGGAAACCAGAATAGAAACACAGATATTTTGTTTGAAGCAAAAAATTCTATATAAATCTGACCCATAAGAATTTGTTATAATTAAAAATAGTACTCTCTTATTTTTAAAAAAAAATGGTGTGTGTGTGTGTGCTGTGTGTGTGTGTTGTATGTGTTGTGTGTGTGTGCTGTATGTGGTGTGTGTGCTGTGTGGTGTGTGTGTATGTGTGTGCTCTGTGTGCTGTGTGTGCTGTGTGTGTGCTGTGTGTGCTGTGTGTGCTGTGTGTGCTGTGTGTGTGGTGTGTATGCTGTGTGGTGTGTGTACTGTGTGTGTGCTGTGTGCTGTGTGTGCTGTGTGTGTGGTGTGTATGCTGTGTGGTGTGTGTACTGTGTGTGTGCTGTGTGGTGTGTGTACTGTGTGTGTGCTGTGTGGTGTGTGTGCTGTGTGTGTGGTGTGTATGCTGTGTGGTGTGTGTACTGTGTGTGTGCTGTGTGGTGTGTGTGCTGTGTGTGTGGTGTGTATGCTGTGTGGTGTGTGTACTGTGTGTGTGCTGTGTGGTGTGTGTGCTGTGTGTGTGCTGTGTGCTGTGTGGTGTGTGCTGTGTGTGCTGTGTGTGCTGTGTGGTGTGTGTGGTGTGTGTGTGTGCTGTGTGTGTGCTGTGTGTGTGCTGTGTGTGTGCTGTGTGTGCTGTGTGCTGTGTGTGCTGTGTGTGCTGTGTGGTGTGTGTGGTGTGTGTGTGGTGTGTGTGTGTGTGGTGTGTGTGTGCTGTGTGTGTGCTGTGTGTGCTGTGTGTGCTGTGTGGTGTGTGTGTGGTGTGTGTGTATGTGTGTGTGCTGTGTGTGTGTGTGCTGTGTAGTGTGTGTGCTGTGTGTGCTGTGTGGTGTGTGTGGTGTGTGTGTGTGATGTGTGATGTGTGTGTGTGCTGTGTGTGTGTGTGCTGTGTGGTGTGTGTGCTGTATGTGTATGTGGTGTGTGTACTGTGTGTGTGTGTGTGTGCTGTGTGTGTTGGGAGGCAGCACAGAATGCATTTCTGCCCTGCTCCATCTGCTCAGGACCAGAAAACGTTGCCCTGAGATGAGACACCCCTGTCCTGGCATGATTATGAGACAGAGCTTGATTTTGTTTTCCTCTTGATTTGTCTTTAATGACCAGAGCTTTTGAGCATAGAATAACCCACCAGAAAACCAAGAGAAGGGTGTCAGAAAGACGCTTCTTCTTTTTCCAGAAAATACTTTTTAATGAATTTAATGATAAAACCCAGATTTCCATGTAGTGTTGTTTCAAATGAACTCGAGTTTGAATCCTGTGTTTTCCATTTATCGGCTGTCATCTTGAGCATGGCATTTAACCCTCCAAGCCTAGATTTCCTTTTTTTTTTTTTTAATCCTCACCCGAGGACTTTTTTGCATTTATCTTCAGATAGAGTGGGAGGGAGAGAGGGAGGAAGAGAGAGAGAGAAACATCGATGTGAGAGAGACACATGGAGTGGCTGCCACCCACACACCCTCAACCAGGGCCGGGGACAAACTGCAACCGAGATACATGCCCTTAGCAGGAACCGAACCCAGGACTCTCTGGTCCACGGGCCGACGCTCTAACCACTGAACCAAACTGGCCAGGGCTCGATTTCCTTTTTAATAACATGCATGTCATACTCTTCTCTACATAGCTGGATTAGCTATGCAAACGCAATCAATCTCTTCTAGTTTTAGGAGGATTAAATGAGACAGAGCTTCTAAAACACCTAGCACAGGGTCTGGCCCAAGAATAAGTGCTCAGTAATGGTAGCTCACAAACTTAATATCTCTGCTTCACTTCCCCAGAGACTTTTAAATAGTTTGTTCATGGTGCTCACTGGTAAGAAGGTCACCCACTGAACTGTGTGTGCAGTGTGCTGGGGTAGGTGATAACCCTTCTGTGGTTATGACAGCCTGCTGGCAATCAAAGGGCCCCAGACACAATACGCTTTGAAATAGTAAAAATACTTTTTAAAAAGCAAAACCACTTCCTAATTCATCTTCTGAGTGTAGAGTATTTGCTGTGTGTCTGTCCAACCACTAAATTATGGGTGATTTTTTTTCTTTCTCTGTGTTTTTCTGAAAACTTTAAAAATAAACATGTGTTATATTAACAATAAGGGGGGAAAGCTCTCTCTCTATATATATAATCTTTTTTTTTTTTAAGTTCTAACTGGTCATCCTACAGCTCATTGTGTAGAAAGTTCTCTGGTCTTCTCTGAGTAGAGGGACCAGCTGTGCAGGCGAACCTCCCTGAGGGATAACTGCCTCGGAGTCGATCCGATGGGAGATGGTGCACATGGAGATACCATGGGCTTGGTCCGGGGGCCACCTCTCCAGCCACTGTGGCTGTCAGAGGCTCCGGGCTGCTCCCTTGCTGGCCTAGAATGTTCTCCCCACAGTGTATTACGCTGACTCAAATGCAGACCTCGGCTCGGAATCACTGCCGGGACAGCGTTCCGCAGTCTTTGCTTCCTGGATTTATTGGTACGGTGTTTCCTTAATATCTTAATGTCCCCCCACGACCCCTCAGATAAGCAGCCATGAGCCCCATGACGGTTTTGCTCACTACCGGATCCTCAGTGCTGGCTCCCTGCCTGGGGCGCCAAGGGACCTGGCGTTTCCTGCGCCCACGAGCGCACCTCTGCAACAACGTAATCGACGCAGATGGAGACGGAGGGAGACCTTCGGGCGTCCAGCCAGAGCCCCCGGTCTCAGCAAGCAACCCACTGGCGTCCGTGGGCCGTCTGTTCTCTGCTGGATGCTGCAGGCGACGCCAGGCTCGCACGGAAAGGGCGCTGCCCCGGGATTATGCTATAATACGAAGAGAGAAGTAATCGAGAGGAAATCGTATGTGTAGCAGATGACAGCTAATGAAACGCTGTTGGAATTGTATCTTTAATGGGCCCAGGATTGGAAACAACCTCAAGTCTCTACATAGTATCCATAAGAGCAAGTGGAGTTCAGCCCGGACAGCTCCTCCCATTCCTACTGTTGGGAGTCTCTTTCTACTTCCCTTACAACCCCCAAGATCTCATAATCAACCTGAAACACAGTATCAATAAGAGCTCATGGTCTACCTAGCACCTCCCCTGATACCCAGCTGAGTTAGAAAAGATAAAAAGAGGCAATGCTAGCCCTGGCCGGTTTTCTCGGTGGTTAGAGCATTGCCCTGCGGTCCAGAGAGACCCGGGTTCATTTCCCGCTAAGGGCAGGTAATTTGGTTGCAGTTTGTCCCCGGCCCTGGTTGGGTCATGTGGGTGGCAGCCACTCGGTGTGTCCCTTTCACGTCGATGTTTCTCCCTCTTTCTCCCTTTCTCTCCCTCATGCTCTATCTGAGGAAGAATGTCCTCGGGTGAGGATTAAAAAAAAAAAAAAAAAAAGAGGCAATGCCCAAAAGAGGGGCTGAAGTCGAGACTAAGAGGGGAAGGAAATGGGGGTGAGTCCTACAAAAAGAACAGCTAAAACTGACTTTGCACTCGGCCAGCCAGGGATTGTTCTGAGCACTTTGCGTGTAAATCCATTTAGTTGTCCTAACACTTCTGTTCGGAGACTTGGCTCAGTGACTCGTGTCCTTGTTTCCTAGTACATCACTGGAGGGCAGTGAGGTGCCCAGGTCACACAGCTCGTGGGCAGTGGGACCTGTGACCCTGCCTCAGGCTGCCTCTGAGTTCCCCACCCTTTCCTCCCTCTCGGCGACTCCTCTCCTCCTCTCATTCCTCCATCACCACCCTCTTCACCAGCTTTCAGTCTCTGCTGTGTGATCACTCCCTTCCCCTCGGCCCCCAGCTCCGAGTGCGAGTGCAGCCCCGAGCTCCCTAAGCCGTCGGCATCTTTGGGTCACTCCATGTCATTCCACGTTTCTCCCGCCCACGTGAGGCCCCCTGTGAGCTGTAACACTCGTGGGGGGAGTGGGGAACATGCCCCCGCTGCACAGCCGGGATTCCGAGCGGACAGACTGGAGCTGTGGCTGGCCCACCGGACACGGAGTAGCGATTCCATCCCTCGCCTGGTAGCAAATCCGACACGTGAGGGAAGCTCGCGCGGAGTGCGGGCCGTCTGCGCGCCAGGTCTGGTTAAGCCCTCGCGTGGACGCCCTCGCTCCATCGCACCGCCCCAGGCCGGGGGAGATAGATGGCTGGAACCAGTTTGACATGAAATATAAAACAGGCGTGGGCCGTTGTGAGGAAGGAACGTCTGCTTCTTCCATCAGGAACACGGGCCAGTGGCAACCAGCGCACGGAGTAGGCAGCGGGCAGCCGCGTGCCGGCTCGGGCTCCGACAGCCGGGACACCCTCGCTGGTCTGTCCTCTGCTACCTGACTCTTCGCGTGGCTGCTTCGGCTCCCTCCCCTCACGGAAGGCGGCTGGAGTGGAAAGCTCGGGGGACCCCCCCCCCCGCCACTGGGAAATGTACACCGGGGCTTGATGACCAAGACAAAGCGTGGTTTCCAAGTACACGACCTGACGCTGGGGCTCATGTCGTCATCAGGGGAAGCCTGCCCCTGGGCCGGGGGTGCCTGCCCTGCGCTGCTCGGCCTGGGATGTCCAGGAGTTGAGTCACGCGGGCCCCGTCTCCAGCCCCCCCTGTGGACGTAGGGGACCCCCCTGGTGACTGCTCTTTCCCAGCTGCCTTGTTATCAGCGTCCCCACTTCATGGGAAGGGCTGTGGTGAATTTCTGGCAAGTGAGTAGGAAGTCGCTGTTCTCAACAGCCCGACGCGGGCGGGGGCCGCCCGGCTAAGCGTATAAGCAGCCTGGGCTGGGCAGGCAGCAGAAAGCCGCCGGCAGAGGAGATGGTGAGTCGTGTCTCTTTCCTACAGGTGCTGGACGAGCTGCCGTGGTTCGGGGCTGAGGCAGGCAGGTCAAGGTTCAGAAAGTGAGGACAGGCACCAGTCATGTGGCTTTATATGGACTAGCCCTCCGTTGTTCTGACCCTTCAGCAGCCTTGTGAGCAGAGGTTACTCCCAAGTGCTGGTGAAGCCGCGATGCTGGAGACCGGCGGGAGGGTTTCCCGTCCCCAGCCGTCCTCCGTCTTTGTCTGAGCCCTGGGAGTCTGCTGGGGCGGTGGGGAGTATCCTGTCGGTGACTCGGTTTCCTCACCTGGAGAATGGTCAGTGCTCTACGTCAGCATCACCGTGCGGGTGAGCTAAGCTTGTCGCTCTGAGCCGGCGCCTGGTTACCGACGAGCAAATGTTCACTCGTGCAGGAGAAAGGACATTCTCGGGTTCTGTGAGGTTTGGGGGCCAGGGCAGATCCGAGGAAAAAGGCTTTCTGGAATTCCCGAACCTTGTCCTAAATAAGACACCGGCGGGTTTCACCCCCAGTGGAGCATTTGGCACAGTCCCAGGGGCTAGATCCTAGTCTGTGGCTCAGTGGGACCCAGCCCATCTCCTTGAACGAGATGCCCCTTATCCTGACTCACCTCACCTCTCGGCTATAACTACAGTTACTTTTTTATTTATTTATGTATTTTTGCATTTATCTTCAGATAGAGTGGGAGGGAGAGAGGGAGGAATAGAGAGAGAGAAACATCGATGTGAGAGAGACACATCGAGTGGCTGCCACCCACATGACCCCAACTGGGTCCGGGGACAAACTGCAACAGAAGTACATGCTCTTAGCAGGAACCGAACCCGGGACTCTCTGGTCCACGGGCCGACGCTCTAACCACTGAGCCAAACCGGCCAGGGCTACAGTGTACTTTTCACATTCTTGCAAGGAGGGTTTTCTGTGTCGGGGGAATGTGGTAAGAGGGCGATGAGGAGAAGGGGAAGGAGTCTCAGCTGGCCTGACCCTGAACCCCAATGACCCAAGCATGTGGATTACTCCTGTCTTATCTTTCGTGTACCATCACTCCTTCCGAACGGGTCAGCTTGCACCAGAAGTCATTCCCCTCTTCCCTGTGTCCTCCTCAATTTCAGGAGGATGTTAACATACTGGTCTTGGAGTTCTCTGAGATTCTGATGAAGGAAGTCCCCTTCCGGGATAAAAATAAAAATCCACATAAGCACCAGGCTTATGGAAAACCATAGGAGGGGTCCCCGGCCTCCATGTGGGGCCCCGGTTGAGCGCTCCACCCTGTCGTCATCCATGCCTTGTGCTCAGATGTTCCTGCGGCCTCCTCAGTGGAGACCGGACCTCCGCTGAGCACCAAGCCCTGGGACTGTTTTAATATTACGAAGGCAAGCCCTGGCCGGTTTGGCTCAGTGGTTAGAGCATTGGCCCGTGGACCAGAGAGTCCCGGGTTCGGTTCCCACAAAGGGCATGTATCTTGGTTGCGTTTGTCCCCGGCCACAGTTGGGGTCATGTGGGTGGGGGTGGCAACCAGTCGATGTGTCTCTCTCACATCAATGTTTCTCTCTCTCTCTCTCAGCAATGGTGACCAGTTGTCTAATTTCGATATATGCTTCGAGTCTTAGTGTTGATGGCCTGGGTTTCCTCCGGTTCCGATTTCTCATTTGCTGTTCTGCTTAGAGACACCCCCCCCTTTCCCACCCTCTCTTACTCCTGCTCTATCTGAAGATAAATGGAAAAATGTCCTCGGGCGAGGATTAAATATATATATTACAAAGGCAAGCCCTCTTCCTTTGCCCCTGAACACATTTGCCTTTTTAGGGATTCAGGAACCTCACACCCAGCGTGCAATTTGGCTCAAGTTCCGAGAGGAACTTCATTAACCTCTAGGACCTGAGGAAAGAGGTTAAGGTTTACCAGCGGGATGTTTTCAATCAGGCAGAGCTCAGAAGTGGAGCTCTTACTGGTCACTTACAGGGACCGGGTTCTCTTCCGCTGACACCTTTAACTGTCCGAGGTCTGTGCCTTCCAGTTCTTACTCTTCCTTCCGTTACTGTCTTTTCAAAACGCAACCCAGTGGTGCACCCTCTCCGGGCCTGGCCACTGGCTCTTAGAATGTCCAGCGCAGAGCTCGGTCAGTGGAAGTTGATCGATCAAACCCTCCAAGATGAAAATGACTTGTTCCGTAACAGATGGCGCTGAGACCAGACCCTGGACCTCACCCCAGAGAGTAGGCACACGGGCATTTCATAGACCCCACTCCGCCACTGCCTTTGGGGTGTCTAGCTTGGACCGCAAAGCAAGGCAGGAATGTTATAACATCAGATACAAAGCAAACCCTTTAAATTTTGGGAGGAGATAGTGCAGTCATTATCCAACGGACTTAAAAAAATTTTTTTATATGTGTTACTTTATTTTTAATGCGACTATATCACCCTCAGCCATGGTGACCAGTTGTCTAATTTTGATATATGCTTCGAGTCTTAGTGTTGATGGCCTGGGTTTCCTCCGGTTCCAATTTCTCATTTGCTGTTCTGCTTAGAGACCTCCCCCTCCCCCACTGTTTCATTTTCTACTTTTTATGTAGGGCTAGTAATATCTGTGATACAAACCCCCCCCCCCGAAACTTAAGGGAAATCATATTCTGTCCGTTGTAATGCCTTGTGAAATCTGGATGCTGTCACCTACAAGGTGGACAGCTCTGCCGCCCCAGTGACGGTCACCTCTACCTCCCCGGTTTGCATGCCCACTGACCCAGCCCAGCCAGGCCCTCAGTCACTCCCACTGGGACTGGGACAGTGGCCTCCTCTTACTGCTCGGCCTCCTGTCTAGTTCAGCAGCAACACCCTTGTTAGATGCATCTGTGAGAACCCTGGCAACTGGATTCTCCTCCTGTGACGGTCACTTCAGACTCACAAGAGCTGGCCCCAACCTACCTTCTCAATGACCCGCTAGGACCTTCCAGCTGCAACAGCAATCAGACCACCTCGCCACCCCTCTCAGCAACTGCCCCCCACTTCCCTCCACCTCCAGCTGCTCAGCCCCGTTTGGTTCCCAGGGTGAGGCCACCAGCTCCAGCACATGTGCTTCCCTGCCCACTCCGTGCCAGCCACGCGACGCCCTCCTGCTCGCCGAACACTCCACTCTGGGCCCCTCCTCAACGCCTTCGCGTCCGCGTGTCCTCCGGTGCTCAGTGCCCTCCTCCCCCCGCTTCTCACTGGCTGGTTTCTTGGGGTCATGCGGCTCTTGGCTTCACGCCACCTGCCCTGGCCTCGCTGTCGGACGTGACCACCGGAAACACACTCCCCTGATTCCCTACCTGTCGCCCGTAACTCTCATTTCATGTTCACTCGAGTGCTGTGGCGTAGTGACTGGTGTTTGTTTCGTTGTCTTCCTCAGGAGAATGTGCATCCCATAAGGAGGGGAACTGTGTCTGTCTTTGTCATTTTAACACCAGTGCCTCGGACAGGGGCTGACCTAGTGCACTGATCGGTCAATAGGACTGGAATAGCAATGGGAAAGAACACAGGCCGTGGCCGGGCAGCTTCGATCCCGGTGCAGGCAGGAAGGGCCTGGCGACAGGGCAGGAGAGGCCTGGACTTACAGAGCTAGTCACGCACAGGAGAGGGTGCTCTGCGCACACGGAGACAGAGAACGTTCTAGAAACTATAAGGAGTTTTATATGTCTCCACGGAGTTCTCTCGGGAGGTTGAATGGAGGGGGAATGTCGGGAGATGAGGCTGGACAAGCAGCTTTCGACCTTTTTCATCTCACGGCCCACATAAAATAATTACTAAAACTCTGCGGCACACCCAAAACATAGATATTTTTGCCAATCTGACAAAATAGAAAAAAAAAAGGTATAATTTTGATTCATTCACACCAGAGGGCTATGGGCTATGGTTGTGTTGGCAATTGTTGTTTTTTAATTTGACCATCGAAGGAAAAAGATGTCAGCGCCCTGACTAAGCCGTCTGGTATTGCACGTGTTAACAATTCTCTCGGCCCTGGCCGGTTTGGCTCAGCGGTTAGAGCGTCAGCCTGCGGTCCAGAGAGACCCGGGTTCGGTTCCTGCTAAGGGCACGCACCTCGGTTGCAGTTTGTCCCCGGCCCTGGTTGGTCGTGTGGGTGGCAGCCACTCGATGTGTCCCTTTCACGTCGATGTTTCTCTCTCTTTCTCTCCCTCCTGCTCTATCTGAACAAAAAATGGAAAAATGTCCTCAGGTGAGGATAAAAAAAAAATTCAGTACACGGGTTGGTCCCGCCGACCTAGACCAGTGGGAAAGGTCACGTCTTGAAGGATCTTGCGTGTATCATCTTGAAGGGCGTGTGCACCACTAGTAGGACCAGCTGATGGGTGTGGGTCATGAAGCAATGCAATCAGATGCTTGCATTCGGAACATCATTCTGACGGTATGACGGAGAAGGAGGGAAGACGGGTCATGGTGGGGAGAGGAGAGTCGCAGATGACTGTCCTGACCCGGGAAGGAAATGGTGACGTCTGACGTAGGGCTGGGGCAGAACAGTGGGAGTCGGGAGAACGGCCAGGTGTCTCGTCAGAAGGTACAGTCAATAGGATCGATGTGAAGGGTTTGGACAAGGGAGAGATTCCTGGTCTTCCCTCCCTGGCCCCAAGGCCAATATCCAGGACCTCCTACGTGGAAAGGGGCCAGGCTTCTTATACGACGACGATCCCACTGCCTGCGGGTTTCTTCTCTCCTTAGGCCTGCTGTCTGAGAGCCACGCGGAAATGGACGTGTCGGGCAGTGGTCTTCAGGATCGCCCAGCTCCTGTGCCTCAGTGCCCTGATCTCTGGTAAGGTTTCCTAACCCTCCTCTGGCCCTGGGGAGTGAGGGTGACTCTCCGAGGGGGGCGGTAAGGGAGAGCGCCGGCTGTCCACGCTCCGATTCCAGGAGAGACAAAGTGCACCCGCACCCTCCCGCTGCCAGCAACGCTGCAGGAGGACCTCACGTGGACCGATCCAGGACCGTGTCCACCAGGCACCATCGGCCCAGGCCCCACCACTCTGCGGAGCCCACAAACACATTTTAATTTTTTTTTTTTTTTTATCCTCACCCGAGGACATTTTTCCATTTTTTGTACAGATAGAGTGGGAGGGAGAGAGAGGAAGAGAGAGAGAGAGAGAAACATCGACGTGAAGGGACACATCGAGTGGCTGCCACCGCACGACCAACCAGGGCCGGGGACAAACTGCAACCAAGGTACATGCCCTTAGCGGGAACCGAACCCGGGTCTCTCCGGACCGCAGGCGGACGCTCTAACCGCTGAGCCAAACTGGCCAGGGCTAATTTCTTTAAAAGTGATTTCCTTCTGGGTCAGAGAAAATGTTTATAGAATATAACGATAGATTCATCTTTATGCCCACGCAGTCATAAAACACAGCTTTGTAATGAGACCTGCGGAAGAAGGGCCAGAGGGCAAGGGTACCGAGAGTCCACGGAAGTCACCACCTGCCCCGGCAACACCGGGACAAAGTCTGGTGGCAAAACCAGGCCGCGAAGGTGTCAGTGAGGGAGGGACACACGGAGCTGACCCTCCTGCGGGGGCGGAGGGAGGGAAGAGGAAGAGGGCTGTGTAAACAGGACAGGGAGCCCCTGCCAGGCCGACCGCTCGCACCGGGCGCCTCTGCACCGGGAGCTGCCCTTCTGGCTGAGCTCCCGCCGGCTCAGACCACGGTACCGGCACCCGCTCGCGTGCGGCTTCGTAAATCCAAGGGCACGTCCTATATGCCATTTGCTCTCACGGACATTTCTTTAAAAGGCCTGTTTTACACTTTGTTGAGTAAGCAGAGAAGGCGGAAATGGTTTAGCCAAGACGCCGAGAGCCGTGGAAGGGGTGGAGGGGAGCCGGGAGGTCTGCGCCCCGACGCCTCTGCCACAGGCCGGCTGGGGTCCCCCCGCCAGGGCGGACGGAGCACCTGTGAAGTCCCAGGCTCTGTGCCTGGTGCCGAGGAGCCAGAGAGAGACCACCTGCAGGGCCCACAGTCCGGCAGAAACAGCCCCCACGATGCCCAGCGGTCAGGGAGGTGGAGGCAGAGTCGAGGTGCGGCGGTAGCCCGCAGGGTGAAGCACCCAGCCCAGCGGGGAGGTCGTGGGAAGTAAGGGGAGGGAGAGGTTCTGGGCTTAGGCGGGGGGCCCAGGGTGGCAGGATAGCGGGGCAGCGGCGATGGGGCTGGGCCAGCAGGCGGCTCCGCGTCGTGAAGCACCGCGGTGTCCACAGGAACAGCTACGACCTGTCGATGCGAGGCGGCCCTCCAGGCATCTCGCGGGTCATGTCATTCGGACTTGGCAGGTGACACATGCCCCCTCCATGCATAAGATGAGAACTTCCGAGGTCCCTTCCAAGTGTGTTGTCCTGATTCCAAATCTTTCATACCAAGGACCCTCAGGAGAGGACATTTTCCTCTTGTGACTTCATGTTCATTTTAAGTGAAAGGTGAAAACTACTCTTTTTCCTGGAAACAGCTGGATTAGAGAGAGAACAGTCATGCTTGGGGTGCTCGTCTTCCTGTCAGAAACTCATCTGACGACATAGAAGTGCACCCCCCCTCACAGCCTGCCCTGGGTAGAACCCTACCTAACCAGACTAGAACCCCACCTAACCAGCTAGAACCCTACCTAACCAGACTAGAACCCCACCTAACCGGGTAGAGCCCTACCTAACCAGCTAGAACCCTACCTAACCAGACTAGAACCCCACCTAACCGGGTAGAGCCCTACCTAACCAGCTAGAACCCTACCCACCTAACCCGGCTAGAACCCTACCCACCTAACCCGGCTAGAACCCTACCCACCTAACCGGCTGGAACCCTACCCACGTAACCCGGCTAGAACCCTACCTAACCCGGCTAGAACCCTACCCACCTAACCCGGCTAGAACCCTACCCACCTACCGGCCGGAACCCTACCTACCTAACCGGCTGGAACTCTATCCACCAAACGCGGCTAGAACCCTACCCACCTAACCCGGCTAGAACCCTACCCACCTAACCCGGCTAGAACCCTACCCACCTAACCCAGCTAAAACCCTACCCACCTAACCCAACTAGAACCCTACCCACCTAACCTGGCTGGAACCCTACCCACCTAACCCGGCTGGAACCCTACCCACCTAACCCGGCTAGAACCCTACCTAACCCGGCTAGAACCCTACCCACCTAACCCGGCTAGAACCCTACCCACCTAACCCGGCTGGAACCCTACCCACCTAACCTGCCTAGAACCCTACCTAACCCGGCTAGAACCCTACCCACCTAACCCAGCTAGAACCCTACCCACCTAACCGGCTGGAACCCTACTCACCTAACCCGGCTAGAACCCTACCTAACCTGGCTGGAACCCTACCCACCTAACCCAGCTAGAACCCTACCCACCTAACCCGGCTAGAACCCTACCCACCTAACCCGGCTAGAACCCTACCTAATCCGGCTAGAACCCTACCCACCTAACCCGGCTGGAACCCTACCCACCTAACCCGGCTAGAACCCTACCTAATCCGGCTAGAACCCTACCCACCTAACCTGGCTAGAACCCTACCTAACCTGGCTAGAACCCTACCCACCTAACCCGGCTAGAACCCTACCTAACCTGGCTAGAACCCTACCTAACCTGGCTAGAACCCTACCTAATCCGGCTAGAACCCTACCCACCTAACCCGGCTGGAATCCTACCCACCTAACCCAGCTGGAACCCTACCTAACCCGGCTGGAACCCTACCCACCTAACCCGGCTGGAACCCTACCCACCTAACCCGGCTGGAACCCTACCCACCTAACCCGGCTGGAACCCTACCCACCTAACCCGGCTAGAACCCTACCCACCTAACCTGGCTAGAACCCTACCTAACCTGGCTAGAACCCTACCCACCTAACCCGGCTAGAACCCTACCTAACCCGGCTGGAACCCTACCCACCTAACCGGCTGGAACCCTACCTAACCAGGCTGGAACTCTACCTAACCCGGCTAGAACCCTACCCACCTCACCTGGCTAGAACCCTACCCACCTAACCCGGCTGGAACCCTACCTAACCCGGCTAGAACCCCACCTAACCAGCTGGAACTCTACCCACCTAACCCAGTTCTCCCTCTTCCACTCAGAACTGGTGAGCCAGAGAGAAGTGGCTGCGTGGACCTATCACTACGACACCAAAAACTTATCGTGGCCAAAAGCCCGGAACTTCTGCCGGGAGCACTACACAGATTTGGTGGCCATCCAGAATAAAAACGAAATCGCTTACCTCAATGACGTCACACCTTACTACAGCCAATACTACTGGATCGGGATCCGCAAGATCAACGACAAGTGGACCTGGGTGGGGACCAATAAGACCCTCACCCCGGAGGCCGAGAACTGGGCGGACCACGAGCCCAACAACAGGGGGAGCAACCAGGACTGCGTGGAGATCTACATCAAGAGCCCGTCGGCCCCGGGCAAGTGGAACGACGAGCCGTGCCGGAGAAGGAAGCGGGCGCTGTGCTACTCAGGTAGGCCCCTGCTCGCATGTGTCTGCTGGAAACAACTGCTGTCCTGGCTCGTGACTATGGCCGCTCAGTCAGCGACCTGGGTCACGGAGCCGGGGACATGGAAACGGAGTGACCTGTCCATCAGGCAGTGCTATTGAGCACCTAGCAGAAGACAAGATCCGGACGAGGGAAAACCGGACATTTGAAACCAGAAGGAGATTTTTTTTTTTTTTTAATCTTCACCTGAGGACATTTTTCCATTTTTTGTTCAGGTAGAGTGGGAGGGAGAGAGAGGACCGGAGAGAGAGAGAGGACCAGAGAGAGAGAGAGAGAAACATCGATGTGAAAGGAACACATCGAGTGGCTGCCACCCGCATGACTGACCAGAGCCGGGGACAAACTGCAACCGAGGTACATGCCCTTAGCGGGAACTGAACCCCGGTCTCTCCGGACCGCAGGCCAATGCTCTAACCGCTGAGCCAAACCGGCCAGGGCCAGAAGGAGATTTTAATACCATCCGCCCCCCCTTCTCATTTCATAGCGGATGGAACAGGTGCTCAGGAAGCTCTAGATTCCTGACACGTGTGTCCACCGCTCCTTTTGTGCCACTGAGCCCTCGTATACGTTGAGAGGGGACTGGGCCCTACCCCTAGGGGACACAGCTGTAACTAGAACCAACCGAGCACCAGCCTGTCCCAGGCACTGTCACTGGTTCGTGGGCATGAGGCTGTTGCCTATCAGTGGCATTTAGTCCTCACTCGCGTCCCCCCGTTACCCTCTTTCTGCTGAAGAAGGGAAGGCTCAGAGCCACTGGGGACCTGCCCGGGCGGCTCGTGGGGATGGAGCCCCTTTGAAACTCACGCTGACCTCAAAGCTGGGCCTTTGCAGCCACACAGGCAACCTCTGCGCTACCTTCTCAGGAGACCGCCTGAGAGCGTGACCAGGGGGTGCAAGCGCGCTCTGGTTTCCTTCAGTGACGGCATGCTTCAGGCCTGCTGGACTTAGGGGGTCCTGGGGGATACGGACAGGGAAGAGGCCAGTGGAGGTGGGGAGCCTGGGAGTATATTGGATTCTCAACGCGCCCGGTTCCAGACCAAGCGGACGCGCACGAGCGCTTGGTCTCCCCAGATCCACGTGCCCGGGGCCACTGCTGACCCACCTTTCCAGGGTGTCTTCCCTGCAGAGGAACCCCTCCTGCCCTGAGGGTCACACCAGCACTGTGGCCAGGGACAGTGCTCGTCACCCTGAGCCGGACAGCCCTGCGCACACTGAAGCTTCTTCCTTACTGAGTCATCTAGCAGATGCCACATTCTGCTATGTGTGTTCTAAGTCCTGTAGATTATGAACACCTCCCCCTAGAAGCCCTCAACAGTAGGAGCAGAACACACGGAACAGTATCCTTCCACTTTCTCCATCTCCTCACCCCAGCCTCCTAGCTGAGGAAAAACATACCCACGAATTCATTGCCATGTAGTCAGGCCTCATTTTATAAACAACTTATTTGTTATTAAATAAATTAATTAGCTAACGACATCAGCAGTGACCAGGATGGACAGTACTAGGATATTAGCTCATGCACCTGCTCCCCCTGTCGGCCCATAGGGCTGGCCCTGTCAGATTGTCTTGGCTGCCCCTAGATGGTCCGATATGCCACGGCATCCCTGCCCGCCCCCAACCATCAGCATCCTCATGGGCAAGACAGTCTTCTCCAAAGAGGGTGTAAAAAACTACAGGAGGGAAAACAGATGGAAATTGATTGGCATGAACATTGCCACCCCTCTAACCTGCAGCCCTGGCCAATGTCACTAGTTGGCACAGTTTCACCTGAGTGCAGTCGGCTTCCCTCTCCACTGACGCTGATTGGCATTTGGCCATCCCCGGTGAAAGGGTGTAGGGCCCCATCAGCCCTCCGCAGGAGGTAGACGGGGAACAGAGACATATACTGCGACAAGAAATGCTGTGGGAGTAACCCCACAGATGTCAGCCCCTGTCAGGCCTCAGAATAGGCTTTCAGAAAAAAAAGATGTATTCATTGAATTTATTTCTTTCCTGGAGGTCCAAAGGAATGTCAAACAAGTGACCGATGTAACGGAAACCCTGAAATGGAGTAGAACACAGAACGCTGGCTGGTTTTTGTTTTTTTTTTGTTTTGTCCCTAGAGTTCGGAGACCCTGGGGAAGCCACAGTCAGGACAAAATCTGAGCGCTTGGAGCACAGGGCAGGCAGGCATGGCTACTGCAAGGGCTGGGGGTCAAGGCGCACAGGCTGGGAGGAGAGGACCAAGCCCCTCCCTGCCGGCTCCTGCTGCCTCCTGCACCTTCTCTGTGCTGGTCGTCACGGGGCCTCCTGCAGAACCGTGCGTGGCGTATAGACTCAGAGCATCTCAGAACAGAGAGGAAACAGAGAGAGCATCCACACAGTCCCCCTGTGACCTGTGGATTCCCTCTCGCAATAGGAGCCCGAAGTGGACCAGCGTGTGGCCAGGGCTAAGTGCAGAGGAAACACCCCCAGAAAACAGCCTGGCCACGACCTCGCCCCCGCGATGACCTCATCTGTGAAAACACTCTCAGGGCTCTGATAGCATCAGTATTAACAGTAATCCCCACCTACTGCCTGGTGCGTGCACCCTCCGAGTCTCCTGCAGGAAGGAGACGCTGGCCCTTCTCCGTCATCGCTCAGTGGGCCAGGCTGAGTGAGGAGGGCCTGGCAGGGCAGCTGGGCACATCTGAGCCTGGCATATTTAGACCTGGTGAGACGTCTGCTCCTAGAGCTGTCTGTCCTTTACCGTGAGCAGGTGTCGCACGACCCCTAGGCCCTCAGCTCCTTCACCACGAGGCACTGGGCACAGATTTGATGAACAAAGGGTGGAAAGGCTTGGGCCCTAGTGGCGGGCACGTTGGGCTCCATGCGGGATCTGGCCTGAGGTCACAGAGAGGTCGCCAGGAGGCAGCAGAACCAGGACCGTGGTCATGTGTGCCTCCCACATCCGATTCCAGCCCCACGCTGTGACACCTGCCGTGGGGTTCCGGAGCAATAACCACTCTTGGCTGGAAGGCACCACCTATCTCGTACCGCACAGAGGAGTTGCCGTCTGCACTCTGTGGGTGGCTCCGTTTGTCCCTCTGTGTCACACAGAGCCGTCCCTCCTCGGGCAGCACCGAATGCAGCCTGGCATGGAGGCCACGGGACGCCCTCCACGGGAACAGCTGGCTCTCCCCGGCCCCGTGGTTCTGTGGTCGCGCTGCCGTGGGCTCCCCCGACAGGGGCTGAGCCTGCGGCCTGGGACGAGAGCCCAGCTTCTCTCCACACGTCCCGGGAAAGCCCAGGCTCTGACCCCTGCTGTCCCCGCAGCCTCCTGCCAGGACGCGTCCTGCAGCAGACAAGGCGAGTGCGTGGAGACCATCGGGAACTACACCTGCTCCTGCCACGCCGGCTTCTACGGACCAGAGTGTGAACACGGTGAGGCCGCCGGCTTCCGATGCTGTGGTCGTACCCCTGTGCTTCCTGCCCTCTGTCCGTCTGCCCCTCCCACACTGCCCCTCGACACGGCTCTGGGTGAGCGACACGCCCAGAGAGAACTGTGTCCTCAGCTCTCCGAAGGGAGGTGAAGCGGAGGTGAACTGTCCTTGTTTAAAGTAAATGGCAGTGAGAGAGAGTTCCTCCCGAGACGGCCCAGGCCAAGGACGTCGGGGCGACAGGCCGGTTAGAGCCGGGAGGGGCAGGGCGGAGAGGTTCTCCAAAGGGTCCGGCTTCAGCACACCTGCCCTGGCTGCACCTGCGTGGGAAGCACCAGCGCTCCGGCCCGCAGTCAGTGCGGGAACCGACCTGGTCCGCACGTGCTCGGACCGCGGGCGCCCTCGGGGGGCTTCTCCTTCGCTCGGCTCGCGCGCCCCTTCCCCTGGGCCGAGGCCGCACACGTGCGCCGAACGTGTGGCCGAACAGACCCCCACGATGCGTAGGGAGCAGGCCTACTCCTCCCCGGAACTCCGAGCGGAGCATAAGCTTCCTCATTAAAAACCGCGGACCACAAGGAGGGTCCCAGGAAGGGAGGAGACCAGGGCAGCGCCAGCTTTGACCTCGGTGGCACTGCCTGTCCGGGCAGTGTGAGCGCTGGACCTGGGGGCGGCACGGCCTCCCCGTTCCCGCGCTGGGCACGCTGTTCCGCCTCCAGGAGTCTCGGGCTTCTCACCTGAGACCTGAGCTAAGAACCGCGAGGGGCCTGGTGAGGACGAGGTCTGCAGACAGCGCGCCGGGAACCGCTGGTATAAAGGCCCGCGGAGGGCCGGGCCCTCGCTCCGTCCACCTGGTCTGCCTCTTTTCCCCCTTCCTGCCCCAGTGGCATGTACAGCTGGGGGACAACGTCTTGTGCTTGATGGGGACTAGGCACAGTGGCTACTAGGGCCAAGAGGGAGGTGACCCGGTGCAGCTGGAGGTGGCCTTTGCGGGGCGCACGGGGCGCGGCGCTGGAAGCGAGGCTGAGGCCGCGCCAGGCAGTGGGCACCTCAGCGCTGCCTGTGCAGCACCCCGCCCCCTCCGCTCGGGGCAGAAAGGAGGGAAAGGGCCGCAGGAAATGAAGGGGTGACTAGGGAATTCCCGGGATGTCTACATGGCAAGCCCAGCTCTGCTAGGGGGACCTGAGACTTTAGGGAAGCCCCTTAAACGTGCTGAACCTCACTTTTCTCACCCGCAAAGCGAGAAAGGAAACACTAGAGGCTCTTTGGTTCGTAAATGCCCCGATTCTGTGAAAACCCGAAGTCTAAGCCCAGGGTTTCAGGGTGCTCACTCGGGGACGAGATAAGAGAGTGTCAACGATCAGCTCTGCTACTCCAGCCTTTTCCTGTGACGTCCAGCCTGCTCTAGACCCACTTATCTGCAAATAACCCAATACATGTTTGTTGTTTGTTTGTTTGTTTGTTAATCCTCACCCAAGGATGTTTTTCCATTGATTTTATAGATAGAGTGGAAGGGAAAGAGAGAAAGAGAAAGAGAAACATCGATGTGAGGGAGACACATGACTGGCTGCCTCCTGCACAAACCCAGCCGGGGCTGGGGATCAAACCTGCAACCCAGGTAACCTGCCCTTGACTGGGAATTGAACCCACAACCTTCACTCCGCGGGCTGACAAGGGAGAGGTCTCAGAGATCACTGGGGCCGCTCTTGTCTCCGGCCAGGTAAACCGTACCAAAGAGATAGTGGGATGTTCTACGCATCCAGAGATGGGGTCTCAAACTCCCTTGATAAGCCCCCTCGAGTTTTCTGTCCTGCGGTCTGCCTCTGACGCTCTGATGATGTTACTACTGTCTGTCACCGCCGCTGCTCCTGCTCTTGCTGCTCATCATAGCAGATGGTCTCTACGGGGCACGTTAGTCTAACTCCATGAGGTAGTTTCAATGATTACTCCCATTTTAAAGATTCGACTTAACATACATGGAATCCATGTGTTCTCTCCATGGATGACCATTTATTTCACATGACTGAGATCATGGTGTATGAGATCATACCGTTTATACTTTTCCACTTACCATCATCCCATCAGACGCCTCCCATATCTTTCCAAGGTGAGACACATCCTTTTCAGTGACCCTCAGTGTTCTCCCCATGGATCCACCATTACTTACTTTCAGCTTCTGACTGGTGGCGTTTATATTGGTTCTCACTATTTTGCGCTTCTGAATAATGTGATGAAAACGATCGAGAAAGTGATGTGTCGATTCGCGTGTCGATTACACACTTAGCACAGGTTCTTCAAAACGATTGGCAAATACAGCCCAGATGTTTCACAGCGGCTCAGCACTTCCCTCATGAAATTCTTCGGGGGCCTCTGTGATGAAGGGGCCCTTCTCTGTCCCCCAGTTCAGGGATCTCTGCTCCTGGCCCAGACGGGGTGGAGGGGCGGAATCGATGACAACCGGGGTGCCGCTGGTCCTCACTCCCTCCCTCCCTTCTCACCCTTAGCTCTGCAGTGCCAGGCTCTTCCAGCTCCACACGAGGCCCAGGTGGACTGCGTCCACCCCTTTGGTGCCTTCAGGTACCAGTCCACCTGCAGCTTCACCTGTCGGGAAGGCTCCCTCCTGGTGGGAGCGAATGAGCTCCAGTGCTTGGCTACTGGGAGCTGGAGCGCCCCTCCTCCCCAGTGCCGAGGTAAGACGACCCTTCCCAGCGGCTTGGGCGTGAACTGTGGGCTGCTCTCTAAAGGACTTTTAGAGGTGCCAACTGTCTGGCAGCCAGCAGTTGAAATAGACTGGAAAACTCTCGGACACTCGCGTCCTGTAACCCAGACAGCCCAAGAGGCAGGGCGCTGGGCAGTGGGCGAGGGACTGGCCCCTGCCAACAACTCACCAGGGCCTTCAGCAGGACCTGAGGCTGCCATGGTGACCCAGGTGAACTGTGCTCACTGGGCTCCAATTAGTATGTAGAAAGAAGGCCAGGGGGCAAAAGTAGCTTGAGGATGGTTGCCCTGAGGCTGACCTGGCTCTGCACCCCAGGAAGCATGGGGTCTCGTGGTGGGATGGGGAGGGGCAGAGCGCAGGCACCTGGCTGCAGAACCCTCCAGTTCTGTGCGGTACCACAGAAATACACTTGGGATCAAGGGAAGAGGCAGAAAGAGGAGGAAACTTATCTATAGACGCAAGGTTATAAGGGTCTCAGAATACAAATGTGCGTACTCAGCATAAGCATGTCCATCTGATGTAAAACAGAGCCAGTGTGTTCTGGCAACATTGTACAAAATACGACCGGTCGTGATCCTGTGTTTGGGACCTGAAGGACAATTGTACACTTTGTATACTCCTCTTTCCGTTTTCACGTAATGTAGCCAATTTTTTTCATTACATTTATGGCAAATACTACTTCTCGGAAGCAATGTTTTCATGTATAAAAGCGACAGGAAATAAGAAACAGGGAAACAATGAAAACTCTCTGAAGTACCCCCACCTTCAAATAGGCACTGTGAGCTCTTGTACGAATCCCTCCGATATTTTCCTCCTCCACTTTTCCCTCCGTGCAGTTAGTATTTTTAGATGCTTATACAATTGTAGTAACAACATTAAACAGGCAAGATGCTAGATGATTCTGCAAATTTTTACCTTTGCCTTGTTCTTCGCACAAGCTTTCAACCTCTGGGTGGAAGCAGGCAGATACTGTTTTTAATGGAGAGGAAACCACTTGCTATTAGGTCACACACACACACACACTCACACTCACACTCACCACTGTTAAGTTAGGGCAACAGTAAACGAATGAATGAATGAGTGAATGAATGAGTGAATGAATGAATGAATGAACTCAGCAGCACTGTAGGTCCCTCACCCCGGACACAGTGAGCATGGCAAGCCACCGGCGCTGGGATGGGGCGCACATTCTGGGCTGTGTCTGGCGGGACCAGGCTGAGGTTTGCCACCTGGACCCCTCAGCTCGCATCCTGGCGACTCTGAAGCCTGGGCATGTCACAGGCCCATGCAGCTTTGGGGAAGACAGTGATCAGAACGCTGCCACGCACCCCTGGGCTGTGCAGGGCACAGGTTACAACTCACTCCCCAAGCTGTCCCGTGTGTGGGCGTTGCACAGCCAGGAGGTTGACATGCCCTGTGACTTCCTGTGACCTTCCAGTTCCCTTCTGCTTTTGCTTCTTTGTTTACTCTGACTGAACTTTCTCCTCTCGCTGCTGGTTGAGCATCCAGTGAAATAAATACCACGTGTGGGCTGGGCAGGATGGGGCCAGGAAGCTTGCAATCTACTAGTTTGCAACACTTCTGAGAGTGTTATCTGTTTCCCTTTCCAGTGCCCTTCCCAGCCCCGCGTCTCCACCCCAGCTGTCAGACCCGTGGCCCCGAGAGCTGGGAATGAATTCCATGCCACCAAGACCCGCCCTGCTTGTCCTCACAGATCATAGGCGGCTTGACCTTTCCCCTCTCCCCTCCCCCAGCGGGCGCGCACACACACACGCGCACACACAGATTTCAGGTTGCTGAGTTCTAATCCTCTTCTCTCCTCCTCTGCATGCCCGTAGCCCGAACCTGCACACCTCTGCTGAGCCCTCGCAATGGAATGATGACCTGTGTCCAGCCTCTGGGGAGCTCCAGCTACCAGTCCACGTGCCACTTCACCTGTGACGAGGGCTTCTCCTTATCCGGGCCAGAAAGACTGGATTGCACTCCATCTGGACACTGGTCAGGTTCCCCCCCAACGTGTGAAGGTAGGACCACCCGTCGGCGCTTTCCTAGGGCTTCTCGGGTGGCGCTACAGAACGGGGTGTGGGTAAAACTGTCCTAAGCCCAAGGAAACACGCCCACCACGAAGCGTGGAGAGCCAGACCGGATGCAGCTTCTCCCTCCTTCCTTCCCTCCCTCCCTCTCTCCTCATGATAACTTCAGTCGGACAGTTCACAGTTTCATAGTGTTCTTGTGTCATTGTGGCACCCGGCGTTCACCACAGTTCTGTGTTCCTTCCTTGCCGGTCTTGGTCTCCCACACTCTTCCCCCAGGCAGGCCCACAGTCACCTCTCCTGACTGCTAAGCCCAGACGTGAGCTTCGGGCGGGGTGGCATTTCGTCCCAGCCCCTCGGGGTCTCAGCGTCCGACTCCCGTGCAGTTCCTGTCCCCCTCCACTCTCGGTGGATTACACAGTGGCCACGAGACATCGTTCCACATTCCTTGAGAGCAGGAACTGCCCTCCTCACGTCTGCATCCCTGCAGCAACCAGACAGCGTACACATGGGCGTGACAAACATCCGCTGGATGGACGCGCATCGTTTACCATGAGAACGTTGTATTCAAGCGCGACTGAGAGTGAATTGGCGGAACCGTCGAAGGCAGGGGCTGGGTCTTACAGTCTTTGACTTCCCCCAAACGTCTGGCTGATGCAGTGCCCAGCATATGGGGTGCCCTGAAGCAAAGTGCACGGAATCAGTCAATCCATAGGTCACGTGTACTTTCCAAAGGCACCACGGGGCCGATTCACTGTTCAGCAAACTGGGTGGTAATGAAGCCAGCAGGCGTGTTTATTGCTCTGTCATGAGTACCGGCTATTATCACATTCGATCCCCTCAGCGCTCTTTCCAGGGTTGTTTTCATCCCCATCTTAAAGACGAAGAAACCGAGGCTTCGAGGAAATAAATAGCAGGCAAAGGGCAAGTAGCTGGGAGGCAGGGCGCTGGGATCCAAAGCCAGGTCTCGTCTGACCGCAGGGCTCGTGTTGGCACCACTACACCACACTGCCACCCAGTGGCGGGGTTTCTACCTCCTGGGGCAGCCGCTGGTAAAATTCTCTCCCACTCCCCAGGCTGCAGTGACAGCTGCTGAGGGAAATGAACTTCAGAAATGGCAGCGTCTGGCGATCAGATGAGAGAAGATGCGGATAGAAATTTATTATTAGCATTATATGAAAAACAGCTAAACTATGATTTCTCCTTTCTGGGGGAATGAACGCTGGATTAATATCCGAGGACCTGCATCGTTCTCCCTCACAGTCATGCTCCTTGTTAGAAAGTCATGTCACACCCTTAGTGGCCGATTCAGAAAGGAGAGGAGCGGACAGGATTATCTCTGGGGTCTCTTCCCCGGCCAAGGATCCTGCCAGTTAAAGAACATAAATGGCTACTGTCTGCTGTCAAAAAGATAGAGCACGGCCCTCGCTGCTTTGGCTCAGCGGTTAGAGCGTCGGCCCAAGGACCAAAAGGTCTCGGGCTCCATTCCCGGTCAAGAGCACACGGTTGCAGGTGCCATCCCCAGTCTGGTTGGGATCATGCAGGAGGCAACCAATCCATGTGTCTCTCTCCCATCGATGTTTCTCTCTCTCTCCCTTCCACTGTATCTAAAAACCAGTGGAAAAATATCCTCAGGTGAGGATTAACAACAACAACAAAAGAGATACTGCAGGCTTCTGAGGACTCTAGGACATTAACGGGCGATAGCATTAGGGCATCATTCACTTATTTCTCCTTCATTCATTTACTCCATCAACACGATTGTTAAATCGCAATCTCTGAGGCCCCTGTTTCCCCCACTCCTTCCCAGCCCTGCTTCTCCACTAGCAGGGCATTTGCCTCCCACCCCGCAGGCCTAGCCCTGCCCGGAGCCCAGCACCCGCCCCGCCCACAGGCAACACCTTCAGCCAACCAGGGGACTCAGACCTGCCGTCTGTGTCCAAGGCCGACCTTGAGCTCTGGCTTTTATACCTGTTTCCACCTCATTCTCCAAATTCATCCTGCAGACTTAACAAATGTTCCTCTCCTTTTCCCATATGCCCGAGTCCGTGGCTGTTTAACCCTCCAGCAGTGACCCAGGACCGGTTTCTGTGTAGTGTTCCCAGCACCCTGGGGCCAATCGGAGGGGCTCGGGGCCACCGCGTAAGCAGGGGTGGTGGCAGGCGGAGTAATGGGTCTCCCTCTTCAGAGAGCAATGCGAGATTTCACTGTTTGAGTGGTTCCGCAGATATTCCCCACCCCCCTCTCTGTAAGCCCGCCAGCCCTCCCCTCCTGCCCTCTGCTCCGTGGCCTGTCTGTGTGTGGAATGCTACTGCCGAGCAAACCCCGGGCGCAGCAGGGGCTCGGCCGATGTCTGTTGACTACATGAAGGGATGCGCTGGTGCGAAGCGAAGCTTCCGAATGCACTGGAAGACGTTGACGTTCTTGATTCGCTTCTCCAGGCACCAAGTGCCCAGAATTATTTGCCCCAGGGCAGGGAAGCCCGGATGTTCAGACACACACGAGTCCTCAGTGTGGGCGCCAACTGCCGTGGCTCCTGTCTCCGGGGCTTTAGGCTGCAGGGGCACCGGGGCTAAACGCAGAGCTTCAGGGAGATGGACGGCACCGCACCCCGCTGTGAGGGTGCCGCAGCAGTGTGCGGTGGGACAGCCCTTCTGGAAACTTCCTCCACAGTAGTAACAAACACGTACACAGCTCTTACCGGGTAACAGCTTTACATTTCATCATCGTTATGATTGTGAAATCACTAGTTCTCACGAGATAGGGTCTAGGGAGCACAGACGGTGGATTGATATATGTATAAGGAGTGACAGGACTTTTTCATATTTGTGGATAAAAGGTGCACAGCTTTGCAATCAGAAATTGTCTCTCCTAATTTCGGCCTCTTTCTCAAAGAGCTTTGTTGGGCCAGTGGGTGGGTCTCCAGGACCTCAGTCAGGAGAGGGCACAGGGGTAGCGTCATCGATCCAATTCCTAAATCAAGGGATCGAAATGCAAAGGGCATCTTTCTGCTGCATGTCATATTAGTGGCCAAGCCGGTGGCATGCCTCAACCCTCACATGTCATGCTGACGTTCGGCCAGAGGACAGTACCACCCCCAACAAAGCAGGGGTGAGCAGGCAGTTGGCTCGTGCACACTGGTTTCTACTCCGCGTCCTACGTCTCCACACTCACTCTCCTGCTTTTTAAAAATCTTTGTTGCTGTTGACAGTATTAGAGGTGTCCCCCATTTTCCTCCCTTTGGCCCCCTGCCCCCAGCCCCTGCCCAATCCTAGGTTCTTGTTGTTGTTGTTTAATATCGGTGACATCGACCTCCGTTTCTAGCAGGAGAATTCTCTCTCCAGGGACCTGCAGTACTTCTCCTCCTCTGTTCTCCATCCCTACCCTAGGCGCTGTGGCTGGAGCCTCCGGCGGTGAGCGGAGTGGGAGGCAGGGATCCTAGGAGGGTCCCGAGTCCATCACTCTCTGAACTCCAGTGTTTCCTCAAACAGGCACAGCACCGGCTCCTGTTCCAGGGGTGCGATGCCCAGCCCTCATCGCCCCGATGCAGGGGAATATGTCCTGTAGACATTATCTGGGGACCTTTGGACCGAACACCGCTTGTCACTTTGAATGCACATCCGGATTCACGCTCAGGGGAGAGGCTGCTATCCGGTGCACACCGTCAGGACAATGGACAGCAGCACCTCCAGCCTGCAGAGGTAAGTGAAAAGGGCGGCAGTTCTGATGCTAACTCCCTGCAGCCACTCAGCTAGTCCGGACACCTGCCTGGTGAGATCCCTTCCAGGCCCCGCGGCCACGTCAACTGTCAGCTTCTCTGTGAAGCCCACCCCAGGCCCCGTTAGGAGCCCCATGCGGGAGGCGTAGCACCTTTTGTCACAAGCTCGACTCCATGCCTAAAGGAGGAAGCATTTGTAAAGATCCACAGCTGTGTTAGAACAATGAGCATGCTCGGCGTAAAACCAGCTACGTGAATGATGCCGCACAGGCTGCACTTCTGGTGATTGCGTGACAGTGTAAACACTCCGTGACTTCATGATTCGAACCCGAATGAAAAGACAAAGCATGCATGACACCGCCGGGAGGGCCATCACCCCACACACAAAGCCTCTCCCTTTGGCTTCCCCCACAAAGCGCAGCACGGTGCTTTGCCAATGCCGCTCCTTCTCCGTGTCTATTGGAGTTAAATTTAGGAGAAAAGCTTCAAGTTCCCCGAAAAATCGTTTAAAGGGGGTGGTGGTCTCTACTTCTTTCAAACTTCCCGGGTCCACCTAGGCTGAACACTTATTAAATATTTTATTTTATTTATGTTTAATCCTCACCCCAGGATATTTTAACATTTATCTTCAGACACAGTGGGAGGGAGGGAAGGAGAGAGAGAGAGAGAGAGAGAGAGAGAGAGAGAGAGAGAGAGAGAGAAAGAGAGAGAGAGAGAGAGAAATTGATGTGAGAGAGACACATCGATTGGTTGCCACCCACACGGAGGTACATGCCCTTGGCTAGCATTGAACCTGGGACTCTTTGGTCCGCAGACTGATTCTCTAACCGCTGAGCCAAACCAGCCAGGATGAACACTCATTGAATATTTTAATATTTAATACTAAATGCTGACATGCCAGCCAATGGCCAACTCTAGTAAGAAGAGCATTTAGGACAAAAGCAGGATTTTATCAGTGGTACTTTCGTAGGCAAGACAGATGGACCCCTCCGCAGGCATTTCCCAGATGCCGCCCTGTGCCTGTCCTACCCTTGGCTTGGCGTCCTCCGAGTGGGTGGCTCAGTACGTGTGATGTTGGAAGAGCTAGTGTGCATGTCGGGGGTGGCCCCGCTCCGCCCTGACCCTTCCTGATCTGGCTCGTCTCCTAGCGAACTAGCCCAGTGACAAACGAGACTGTGATCTCCTTCCCCTTCCCCTCCACATCTGCTTTGCCTGCAGCCGTCAGGTGCTCCGAGCTGCACACGGCTGAGCCAGTGCTGATGGACTGCTCCCACCCTTGGGGAAACTTCAGCTACGGCTCGGCCTGCACCTTCGGCTGTCCGGAGGGTCAGTCGCTCAATGGCTCGGCCACCGCAGCATGCCAACCCAATGGCCAGTGGTCAGCGGCCGTGCCAACCTGCCAAGGTATATTTTTCATCTAGTTTAGGAAGCCACACTGATTTGGAAAGTAACACAATCAGTGTTCCTTCTCTTTATTTCTGACTGGTCTCACTTTCCGCCACTGGGTTTTCCCGGCACTGCACACACGTTTCACAATGAATCAGGGCGAGTCACCTGCTTGACACCGAGCGGAGGGAACTCGAATCGTGACTCTGGGTAGATGTCGCCAGTGCTTCTTCAGAGCTCGGACTGATGAAATGAGCCCTCTCATTTCTTTATAATCTGGGGAGTAATGCACCTTGAAGTTTCTAAATGTTTTAGGCTGGAGGGTATGTATGCAGATTGCTACTTTATCTCAGGAGAACTTGCTTGCTGGCAAACCTCTGAAAACTAAACACGCCACGGGTCTTCCTTAATTAAGCTCCATCTGTTTGTAAGATTTACTTCATTCATCTTTTTATTTTCATTTTTTTCTCTGCAGCTTGTCATTTCTCTACTTTTTGTTAAATATATATTTTTTTAATTTTTAAAGTTTTTTTTTCTCTATTGATTTTAGAGAGAGAGGAAGGAGGAGGGAGAGAGATAGAAACACTGATGAGAGAGAACATCGATTGGCCACCTCCGCATGCCCCTCAGTGGGGATCGGGCCCACAACCTGAGCATGTGCCCTGACCGGGAATCGAACCGGCGACCTCTTGGTGCAGGGTGGACGCTCAACCACTGAGCCACACCGGCCAGATTTAAGTATATTTTTTATTGCAACAAAAATTACCCAGTTTTCTTTGTTTGCCCAAATTTCCATTTCTTTGGCCTACCATTCGATCATTTAATTCCTTTTAGCACGTCCTTACCCTGACTCCTTTGGAAATTGCGTTTGATATGTAAGCCTTAGGGATGAAATGCGATTCTGCGACTCCCGGGTCATCTGTGCTGTTGGGACCTTGGGTGATCCTCCTGGGACCCCTCCTGGGAGGAGGCTGGTTTGCACAGCACCTTTCTAAGTCTTTGTGCGTGTGCGTGCGTGGGTGTGTGCGTGTGTGTGCGTGGGTGTGTGTGCGTGTGTGTGTTGCAGAGGTGCCGCTGACGACCCAGGAAGCCCTGACTTACTTCGGTGGCGCAGTGGCCTCCACAACCGGCTTGGTGATGGGTGGGACACTCCTGGCCCTGCTGAGACGCCGCTGCCGACAAAAAGGTGAGTGGCACCGGGTCTGCCCCTCCTCTTCAACTTTCACGTGCGCTCGCTCGCTCGGGTGGGGCAGTGAGACCCCCTCAGCGTTCCCCTTTGAAAACATTTGCATTAGAAGAAAACACTGCCCGTCAGAATCGCCTCTATGCAAACAAAGAGCTTCATAGAAACACAGACCCTCATGTAGGGAGATCTGGAAATGAGGTTGGCCTTTGAGGGGGGCCTGTGGTCTAGGGAGCCTCAGTTACCTCCAAAACGAATTAAGGTAGCGTCTCGCCTCTCCTTCGTCGTCTCCGCCTTTCGGTCACGCGTCAGTCATTTCCTGACCACCTGTCCCCGGTAGGACGGCCCAGGAGGATGGTCCCTGGTGTGTGGATGTCTAGTCCCACGGGGAGGCCCGCAGAGGGACGCCATGCTCCTGCGGAGGGGCAGTACCGTGTCAGGGCGGAGTACTACGGAACACAAAACCGAGGTGTTCCCACCAGCCCAAGAGGCCAGAAAGGCTCCTTGGAGCGTAACTTTGAAGAAGAGGGATTTGCCGAGGGGAAAGAAATAAAAGCAGAAACAGAGTTCCAGCAGAGAGCGAGAAGTGTGAAAAGACCTAAAGGGGGGGCCCCGCGGGGAAATGCTCTGTCCAGCAGCTCAGTGCATCCGGACCCACGAGGCGCGTGGGGGAGCCGAGACGTGAAGCTGGGGCACAGAGCTGCCGCCTTACTCACGCCTCGGTGTGAGAGCTAAGAGAGCTGTCTGTGCTGCGGAAACAGGCGCAGCTAAGGCAGGGTCTCAGCAGGGGAAGGACCCACATGGAGGGGGCCCTCGAAGGGAAGCCACATCTATCAGACTGTGCAGCTGAAAGAGCTCTGGCCCGGGAATAAGAGAAAGGGGCCATTTCTTCAGGGTCGGAGCATCCTTCCCCCGCCGGCCCCAGAGGCCCAGCCTGTCCCTAAGTTCAGAAACCTCTTCTGATTGTGAACGTCCTAGGATTCTGAAGGTCCAACAAGAGGCCAGTGCTGCCTAAGGCGTCCCTCTCCTGCGAAGTCAAAATGGACACTCATTGTCACATTAAAGACTCAACCATGCCCTGCAATAAATATACCTGTTCATCTGCAGTTGACCTAATACGGTGAAACTTTCCTAGCCATGAGATGCTTCGATAGACAGGCCCCGCCGTGTTTTCGGGTTCCGCTGTCGGGGTTCCTGGTTGGAGTAAGACAGGAGAGCCCTGATCACATACGTCACCAGGGATGGACGGTCACAGTTACGTCGGGAGGGTTTCTTAACCTGCCCGAGTGATGGCCGAGGGAGCGTGACACCAGATGCAATGACAGGGGCCTCAAGGGCCAAAGACGTGAGGTTCGAGAACCAGTGATCTCAGCAACAACCAAACGCAGCCCCGAGGCGGAGGCTGGCATTAGACGCAGGGAGGGAGGTTGTGACTGAAAGGGAAGCGGAGACAGGAGAGAGGACTCTGCAGTCACACTGTCAGGTGTGTTGATTTAGCCCAAAACAGGGAGGCCCTGCCTCTCAGGGACAGATTGTTCCCCGGACGCCTCTTCCAACGAGTCCATCTGAAAATCAGTCCACCTCCGACGTTCCCCGATCATTCCTATCAGGGGTGACCTTTCTCCTGCACTTTGTCTTTCTTCTAAACCAATCATTTGTGTCTTCCTGCTTATTTCAGACGATGGGAAAAGCCCCCTGAACCCTCACAGGTAAGACGTTTTACGATTGAGTTCGTTGTTCTAGTCTGAAGTTTCATCCGCCCTGAGGGGTCAGAATGACCACGCGGAACACCCCCTCGGGCAGCAAACCTGTTGCAATGGCCTCTTCACCACTTCTGAAGGATGATGCGCAGGCAATCGATCCTAACCACACCTGTTTTTAAAAACTCAAACAAGTACCCTAATTATAGTACAAAGGGAAAGATGGGAGGGAAAGTGAGTTTCCGTGGAAGTAAAACACCAGAGCTGGGCACTACGCCGGTGGGTGGACGAGGTCGCCAGAGGCATGTGCCTTTGGGTGGGGTCACTGTGAAGGCAACAGCCACAGAGGACCCCTGACAGGGAGACTGCAACAGTGACTCCAAAAGCATCAGAGACATTGCCCACCTGGCTTTTAAAATGGTGAACGATTGGTAAAAAGTCTGGAAAACCTGTTAAAATCCCCCCTCAATTCACATGGTAGTTGCATCTTAGAAGGTGTGAACAAGCAGCAAAACCAACGTAACATTTACGTACAGAGCAGTGGAGTTCCAGGCTGCGAGATTTTTTCACCTACATGAATACTGAGTGGCTATGCCAAAGTCATACGGCGTGTAGGACAGTTCCTCTGTGTCCTGCGCGTATCAGGACATCAGCATCCTCGACCCGGCCCATAAATGTCAATAGAACGCTTGATCATTAAGAAACTTAAAACACACCTGTAGGGGGCAGTACTACCACTCTTTGAATGCCATTCTTGCCCAATGATCAAGTATCAAGGCTGGGGATCTTGTGAGGATTTCCTCTCACCCAGAAGAACCTGCAGCCCCGTAAGGGGCATAGCAGGGATTCAGTACCCAAAACATCAACGATAGCTTCACCTGGTACAAAGGCAATGCACACGTCCCAGAGCCCTTAAGCAGGATCTAGAGAATCTTGTCTGCATCCCCTCGTTCCCTTTTTTTTTTGGTACGTGCCCTTAGCGGGAACCGAACCCGGGACTCTCTGGTCCGCAGGCTGATGCTCCAACCGCCGAGCCAAACTGGCCAGGGCCCCTCTTTCCCCGTTAAAGCAGAATGCCAGGGGGCGGGCGGTGACCCCTGGTCTGGAGGGACCAGGCGCTGGCCTGTGGTCTGGGGCTGAGCACCACAGGGCAGGTCACCTTTGTGCCTCTGTTTTTTAGCCACCTGGGAACATACGGAGTTTTCACAAATGCTGCGTTCGACCCGAGCCCTTAAGGTAAGTTGCCTATGGAGATATTTTTAAAGGCAATAGAACAGCACGGGGAGGGGGGAGATTCAGATGTCACAGCTTGGCTTTCTTTACATAGCCAGGAGCTAAATTTTAAGCAAGCATTGCCTTTTCAAGCCATGGAGAAAACCGTGTGGGCACAGGGGACACGTATGGCAGTCGAGTGACGAGAGGAAGGGGGTTCGTGCGAGGATTTCCGTCTCCTCCAGGGCGGAAAGGTCCAGGGAGACCTCCCTCGTTTCGAGGTGCACGGCCTTCCCTTCGGCACCCCCCAGGCGGCATTGACACTGTGGCTTCGTAACCGGAAGCCTTGGCTGCCGGGAACCTTTGCCCGTTTTGTGGAGCCAGGGCCCTGTGCAGCCTGCTGGGGAAACGACACGGGCCGGACACCGCTCCCCCAAACAGCTCGGGGCAAAGCGGAATCTCCCAAGACAAGGAGCCTACACAGCAGAAAGCCTGGAATCCAGAAAGATTACAGGGAGCCTTGGGGAATAGATATGACGAGAGCTTTCTTTCAATGTTTTTAAAAGGAGGTGCAATCCCTTTCCTTTCTGTTGGTTCGTTTGCAGAGACCGTCCTTCGGGTCGCCCCACTCAGCCTCAGGGGATGCTGTTGCCACCAGCTTCCGGCTGGACCTGACTGCACTGCAGTGTGTTTGCTGCCGTTTCTGTAAATACTTGTGAATACAGGACACGGCATTTCCTTTAGACTAGCTCTGGACCAGAGCGGGACTGTGCCGTGAACCCAAACTCTCCACCCGCTGCCCTTGCTGCTCCACCTCCTCACCTCTCCGCTTCCTCCAGGCCCGTCCCAGCAGCTGGGGCTGACCGTCTGAGTGGTCTGTGGGCTTCGCCCCAGCGGTCACTCCTTAGCCAACGATCGGAGCATCTGAGTCACCAGAAGACCAGACTGTGAAGAAATAAAAGTGCCTCTTTATTTTTGGACTGGAGGAAAGTGTCCTATACTTTCTGGAAGGCAGGAAGCATCTCTGGTTGGAGGGAAGTTCTGTGACATGTCTGGGGTCCCCAGGACGGTGGCGTATGAACCCTCTAAGGCCCTGCTGCGGAGGTTTCGAGCGGCCTCGGACAGCACCCGGGGCTGCAGAAGACCAAGAATCCAGACGGGAAGGCACATGTACTGGGACGGTCCCTCTACTGGTCACTCTCCCCAAAGACCGATATTCAAATGTGTCATTAAAAGGGTCCCCCCACCTCTGCCTGGCCAGTTTGGCTCAGCGGTTAGAGCATCGGCCTGTGGACCAGAGAGACCCGGGTTCGGTTCCCGCTAAGGGCACGTACCTCGGTTGCAGTTTGTCCCCGGCTCTGGTTGGGGTTGTGTGGGTGGCAGCCACTCGATGTGTCTCTCTCACGTCGATGTTTCTCTCTGTCTCTTCCTCCCTCTCTCCCTCCTGCTTTAAAAAAGAAGGGGGTTTCGCCCCAATGCCATGTTCTCTGATGTGATGTTTTGTTCAATAAGGTCTGAGTCCATCACCTTGTTCACACCCATGTAACCTGCACAATTACCATCTTTCCCTTTAATGCCTGACCACCTTCTCGCAAGGAGAAAATCAGAGAAACACAAAGAGTCTTTGGCACCCGAACGTTCTACAGGGAAGAACAGACTCTTTAAGTCACATATTTGATAACTAGGTTGTCATCTGGAACTAATCGACGATAGCGGAGGCCACCTGTACTGCGGCCTTGCCTCTGTGAAGGGGAGGCCATGGACGTGCCGTGCCGACTGAGTGACGGAGACCACATGCCAATAAAAATGGTGGGACCGTCTACTTCAGGTCACAAGAATTTTATGAGAATTTTGACAGGAGCCTTGGGATTGAGGGACACAGTGCTTTTAAAGGGTCTCTCTAGCATACGGTCCGTAGCCTCTCTGACCACCCATCACTAGGCGGGGTCTCCCAGGACAATGGTGACCAGCCCTGTCTGCGGAATCACAATCTACACTTTATAAAATCTCCCCGGGAAATGGGGATGGTTTCTCAGCCGAAGTTATAGATAAAGAGGAGCGTCCTGCTCCTGACCGGCTAAGGATCTAGTTGGGGAGACAGACAGACCCCCACCCAAAGTACTAGAGGGTCACTAACATGATATATAATTTGAACAGTGTTGTAGGCGTTTACAAAATAGAAAAGTCCATTTGAGCCCAGAATCAGGGAGTTAGCAGAACTCTGCCTGGACTGTGAAGAGTCGAGAGGATGAGCGCGCTAAGTTGATAGAATATCAGCAAAGGGGCAAAGGGCTGTGTGAAGCGCCGAGGGGCCTGACCTCATAGTGACCTCACGCAAGGGGCCCGATGAAAATGTATCGAATCTACTGAGACAAATCCTAAGACAGGGGCTTAGGAGGCACGTAGATTCAGGGAACTTGGGACAAGTCATCGTGATGCTTCAGACGATACAATTTTCTGATTGTCTACCAACAGCAAAACCAGATCTTAAGGCAGAGTGAGACAGACAGACCGTCCAAGAAAGATGAGGGGCCCTGGAGGCAGGAACAACACAATCCCAGGAACGAACACATGCCCAGTGCTTTCCAGCTGCTGGGAATTAGAACCTTGACAATATCCTTTTATGCCCCCAACACCCCTGTCAGGGAAAACTGTCAGCATTAGTCCCACTGTGCAGATGTCTAAACTGAGCTCCAGGGGTGGAGTAGCTCGTCCAGGACACCAGAGCTAGTGAGTGGGACTGAGACCTGTCCACTCTCCTCTCAGGCCCCTCTGTGGCTGCCCTCGCTGACCACAAGCCGCGATCGAGACAGAAGTGTGCGTGGGCAGAAGTCAGGGAAGTGGTCCAGGCCAGCAGGCCCAAGTCCCACATGTCTGCCCAGGTACAGCACACGCCCTCCCCCGGACCGGAGACTGCTATGGTTGAAGGTGCTGGGTCCCAGCGCACCGGAGTTGCAGAGGGTCTGGGAGTGTGCGCTTTGCCCCAGGCAGTTTTGATGTGGGCGGTGAGGGGCTCCTGCTCCCAGGCTTAGCAGCTGGAAGCGCAGAAATGCAGTTCTGCCCCCCACCCCCAGTCTGTGAATCCTGGGGCGCTGCCCCCCTTGCTGGAGCCTCTGGGGTCTGCCCTTTCCTCACCTGCAGTGAAACAGTCACTAATCTGGATGCCCTCCCTGCTACCGCTCGTCACCGGGGGCAGTGACCTAGCCAACCCCTCTTCCTGGAATGGCCCTAGGAGGCGGGACAGCCGCAGCCTCGGAGCCTGGGGAGGCTGCAGGGAGGACACCGCCACCCACAGCCTCCTGGAGCTCACTGCAGCCGCGACAGCCGACACCCGCGGTGTCGGGCAGAACCAGTGGCTGAGGCGAGCCCTGCCCAGGTCCCGGGGTGGCAGGGGGCAGGAGCAGGAAAGGAACCATGTCCCCAGGCTGCCCACACCTCTTGGTCCTGGTGGTCCTGGGCTCGAGCTGGGCAGGCTGGGGGAGCCGGGGGGCTGCGGCCGTGCGGCTGAGGCAGTTCTACGTGGCTGCTCAGGGCATCAGCTGGACCTACCGCCCCGAGCCCACAAACTACAGGTAAGGCCGGGGTGCTGTCCCGCGGGCTTCTCCGGGGAGCGCCTTCCCCTTTGAGAGTGCATTCCCTTTGCTGTTCTGCCTCCAACTCTGAGGATACAGAGAACATTCCGGCTGAGTGGCTAGACGCTGCTTTCAAGAATTTGTTGGTAACAGTTTTGTTCGCATGATTGATTGTTGGTTTAATATATTGATTGGTTCAAAAGGACGATGAACCTCCCCCGCATTAGCCCTCTGCAAGCTCCTGTTCTGGAATTTTAGTGTCTGGTATTTTAATGGGACTTCTCGTTACACAGTATTTATTCCACTCTCTGCGTAGCCCCTGCTTCTAAAGCTAAAGGTGTACCTGCACCCTGTGTTTTAGCATACGCAGATTATTCAGTAACAATGGCCACAATTTTGTTGTTTTCTTGTAAATGACTTTCAAAACAGCCTCAGCCCAGGAAAGTGCAACATTTTGGTTATTTCTACCTTTTTCTATTTTATGTGACTTCACATGTTTTTCCCTCACTGAATCACTCCATGGTATGTGGTCCACCCTGGCAATTCTGGTGGGATCACTATGAAAAGGCAGAGATGTAGCTAAGATTTATCTATTTATTTATTAATATTTATTTAAATAATAAAACTCTATCTTTGAGTCACAGACCATTTTTCCTAATTGAAAGGCTACAAATAAGACTTCCCAGAAAGGAGACAAATAATAGGATCTATTCAACTCTTCCAGCTGGTTGTATTTTTTACTTGTTTTAATGGTAAACTCCTAGCATGACTCAATTATTTGACACTTTACAGCACACATAGGAGGATTGTGAAACACATGTTCCTCTTGCACATTACAAAGCAACCTACCGAGAGAGATGGCAGTGTTTTAAGTCTTTCAGTGTAGACTATGCCTAGTCCTTTAAACATTTCCTTTGTAAGGGTTATTTTGGAGGGCATTCCACACTCTCTTGGTCATGTACCAATTAAGAAATCCCTCTTTTTAAAATAAAGCATCTTAAATAGTTCATTTCAAGGTGATAACCAAGGTCGCGCCCACACCATTAGGGACCGGCCTGCGGCTAACTAAGCCCCCAGGGAAAATGACAACCTTTCCAGCTCTCTTCCGTCCTGCGTGGGGAAAACACTGACTGGCCGCTGGCTCTCCTGCTTCGGCTTGGAAGCGTGGTCTTTCTTCCATAGTTAATGCTGAGAACGAGAGGCAGGACCACACAGGCCTGATTCAGGTGGCGGGTTCCCCGGGAGCCATGCCTGGTCCCCCTGTACCCTCTCACTCCGTGGCTGAGTTTCCAGGACTCTGGGGAGAGTCACTGCTCTGATAACAATTATTGAGTCACACCCATAGCGTGATAACCCAGACCAACTCTCAATATTTTTAAACCTGCATCATGTCATTTCTCTCTAGTACTTGGTGAAAAATCTAACTAGTATATCTGGCTGCTTAATTGAAGACCTTGCTCTAATTCGCTCTACAGTGAGAGTTGAGTGGCCAGTCCTACCCCTTGCCAAAGTCTATTCCAGCAGGAAGCAAAGGCCTTTCATCCAGTCCAGCAGGGAAATGTCCTTTAAGGTGAAACACACCTATTGTTCTTGTTCCAGGTCCGAAGTGAATGTTTCTAAAAATGTCCTTAAGAAAACTTACATGTTCAATCACTTACATGTAGGTAGTAACAGATATGTATCTTTTTCCTTCTGGGTTATAGCATTATATGTTCATCATGCATATTATTTGAATTCGTATCATCTGTAAGTTTCTATTCAGACAGATTTTTTCCAGTAGCCGTTCAACTGCTTGAACGGCTGAAATTAAAACAGCTATTCTTCAGTATGATGGTATATACAGTCCAATATGCTAGAAAACACACCTCTACTAAAATCACTCCGCATAAAAGACCAACTTTTCTTTTTTTTTTTATCCTCACCCGAGGATATTTTTCCATTTTTTGTACAGATAGAGTGGGAGGGAGAGAGAGGAAGGGAGAGAGAGAGAGAGAGAGAAACATTGACGTAAAAGGGACACATCGAGTGGCCGCCACCCGCACGACCAACCAGGGCCGGGGACAAACTGCAACCGAGGTACGTGCCCTTAGCGGGAACCGAACCCGGGTCTCTCCGGACCGCAGGCCGACGCTCTAACCACTGAGCCAAACTGGCCAGGGCTAAAAGACCAACTTTTCTTAGTAAAGCTTTTACACCGCCATCTGTACTCCTGTATTTAAAGATCTGGGATGGGGTAACTTTCAATTTTACTAACAACAAAGCAAATACATAAGAATAGAATCCCACAGCAGGGACAAAGTCAACCTCTAGACTCCTTGGGCTGCACGGACTCCAAGAGTCCTTCATTTTCAGTTTCCATTTCCTCACCTTCCACTCCCCCATGTCTTCTTCTCCCAGTATCGTCCAGTTTCTATTTGAATGCTTCCCTCAACCGACAGCTCACTACTTTCAATAGCTAGTCACTCCAAACACACTTACTCATGTGGTCTTTCATTCTGCCCCCAAACATTAACACAGTTCTTGTATCTCACATTTAAAAACTTATGAAGATTACTACAATTACAGATTTTTCTGTTTGCTTAGAAAACTTGAAGGCAAAAGACCAACTTTTATTACACTTTAAAAACATCACTAGCTAACTTTAAGTCCTTTGCACGTATCAACTTATTTAATACTCGTCACAATTCTGAGAGGAAGATTTTACTATTATTTCCATCTCACAGTTGTAGCAACTCAGGAACAAATGGATTTAATGAGCTTTTCAAGGTTATACAGTTAATGACAATACGTAATTTAAACTCAGACACTATGACTCCCCAGCCTGTTTTCCCAGCCACTGTAACATACAGAAGTCACGGCAGCTGGAGAGGGTGTCCTGACTATGGTTGGGCTGCTGTCTTTAGATTTGGAAGTTTAACAAAGCCAATCTGGTCACCTGGTTTAGACATTTGTAAGAAATGTCCCCCAATGCTCTTCCCTTTTACCTTTATCTTTGCATTTAAGATAAGGATAGGGAATGACACGCCCATCTTTAGAGACACACAAAAAAGACAGGAGACTATCCCAGTAATCCCCACCCCACCCCCCACCCCCGCCTCCCTCTGTGAATTCTTTACTATGGATACAATGTTTCACCTTCTAGAATCTTGGCTCTGCCATTTATCGACTTGGACAAGTTAGACTTTCTGAGAGGTAGTGTTTTCATGTTTGTTTGTTTGTTCCCAATATGAATCCCAGGGTTTCTCCTCCATTAGCCATATCCAACTTCTCAACTAGAAGTAGTGTCCACCTACACGACATTCCGCAGTAGCTTACCACTGTATTGGACTGACCAGTTGAGAACAGCCCACATATTTATTCATCAAAGATTGGATCATATATACATATATTTTTTTATCCTCACCCGAGGACATTTTTCCATTTTTTATTCAGATAGAGCGGAGGGAGAGAGAGGAAGAAAGAGAGAGAGAGAGAGAGAAACATCGACGTAAAAGGGACACATCGAGTGGCTGCCACCCGCACGACCCAATCAGGGCCGGGGACAAACTGCAACCGAGGTACATGCCCCCAGCGGAAACCGAACCCGGGTCTCTCTGGACCTCAGACCGACGCTCTAACCGCTGAGCCAAACTGACCAGGGCTGGATCATATTTTTAATCATTTAAAATCTAAACCTAAAGGTTGGGTTCACACTTCAATCTTGGGTTCTTCTTTAGAAAACTGATTCTGAGGAACAGGATTAGTTAGGGCAGATTTAATTTGTGACAGAATGATGATCACAACAGAATATTCTTTTTTTTTTTTTTTTTGATCCTCACCCGAGGACACTTTTCCATTTTTTGTTCAGATAGAGCGGGAGGGAGAGAGAGGAAGAGAGAGAGAGAGAAACATCGATGTGAAGGGACACATCGAGTGGCTGCCACCCGCACGACCAACCAGGGCCGGGGACAAACTGCAACCGAGGTACGTGCCCTTAGCGGGAACCGAACCCGGGTCTCTCTGTACCGCAGGCCGACGCTTTAACCGCTGAGCCAAACCGGCCAGGGCGCAACAGAATATTCTTAAACAGGCCAACAGTTATTATCAGCTTTACTTATTGTTCATATTTATAAACCAGGGGCTTCTGAAATGTAATTAAAAATGTGATCATCCCTAGTGTAAGTCTGAGGTCATGAGAGATCTTTTTTTTTGGAATGTGAGTAGGTGTCGTACATACCTTTCAAATTAATTTTTGAATTTTATTTCCAGTTCGAATTCTTTTGCAACTTCCTTTAAGAAAATTGTCTACAGAGAGTATGAACCATATTTTCAGAAAGAAAAACCACGATCTAAAAGTTCAGGTAAGCCTGAAATATATTTTTAAATTTAAAGATAAATCTCTATGGATAATTTCATTCATATATATATATGTATTTATATACACATATATAAATACATATATATGTGTGTGTGTGTGTGTGTGTATATACATTTAGTGACATTTAATAGAAATGTTTTTGTTGTTCTTAACCAGTGTAGGCTACATAATTTGTAGGGCCCAGTGCAAAATGAAGATGAAATTCATATTACTGAGAATTTCAAATCAGTGACAGCAAGGTATTAAGCCAAGCCCTGTGTAATTGCACAGGTCACGGGTCACAGGCCCCTGAAGCCAGCTGTTTTTAACCTTGATCAAAAAGCTAAAAACAAAAACAAAAAACGTTTCCGCGCTGGAATTTTTATCCATCTAACAAACGATTGCTGAGCACGTGCTGTGGGCCAGGCGTGGAGCTAGGTGCTGAGGGCGCCACAGCAGACGGGCCGGACGGGCCGGTGTGATGAGCGCTCATTAGCCTGAACAAATGCCCTTTTCTTCCACCTGGCTCCCTGGACTCAGTCAAAAGAACTGCACATGGCTGGTTCTGGGTTCCCTTGCAGCTACCTTTCCCATCTCTGCTCCGGTTTTATTTAGTGTGCTATACGCAAATAGCTATCATCTTTAAGAAAAATCTGTCCTTTCCCCCTTATTTCTTCTTTAACCAAGGGAAGCAGGTTGAATGGGTTTGGGGAGCTGAAGTCTGGTACCATATTCTCACAGGAGTAACGGAGGTAAGAGAATTTCTGCCAGTTGGGTCTCCCGGTCAGTAGCTCACTCAGCCTCCCCCTAAGCAGGTGAAGACCTGCAATCTGTCCCAGACTCCTTCTGCCTCTCTGTTCATCCCATTCTTTCCTGCCTCCGCTAGTACCCCTTCATCTGTGCTCTTTCCTTGACCGGAGCCTTCCCTTCACTCAAAGTCACTGGCAATAAAACAAAGCCCAGCTATGTTCAGATTAACCTCCACCTGGAAAAACTCCCCTTGACCCTGCTTGCCCTCCCTTTTCTCCCCTTTCCTTCATGCCAAGTTCCACTCGAATGGTCCATTTCATTCTCTGTGGCATCTCTTCCTCTTCCCACCCTCCCTCCCTGATCTGCTCTCCTAGGAGTCCCCCAAATCACTCTCAGAAGAGGACACCTAGACTGTGCACAGGCCAGAGTCGATGTTTCTTGCCAGGTCTTTTCCAACTTGACATTTCTAGGATATGTATTTATTATTTTTATTGTTGAAAGTATTACAGGTGTCCCCCCCCCCTTTTTCTCCCATTGACCCCTTTCTTGGAATATATCCTAAGAAGCCTGAAACACCAATCAGGAAGAATATATGCACCCCCACGTTCACAGCAGCACTATTTACAATGGCTAAGATCTGGAAACAGCCCGAGTGCCCATCAGCAGATGAGTGCATAAAAAGCTGTGGTACATGTACACAATGGAACACTATGCAGCTGTAAGAACGAGAGCGCTCTTACCATTTCTAGACATTTAGTGCTCCCCCTTCTGGAAGCTCCCTCCTTACCTCTCTCCCTATTCCCCTAGTGCTACTTCCCCTGGGAACAGAGTGGACTGGGAATGAAAGGAAGAGAAGGAAACAGGAGCAGGAGGAACCGGAGACAACCCCTTCCTGAAACTTGGCTCCAAATGGGAGGAGAGACTGGGTAGTTCTGGAAGGGAATAGAGGTTTAAGAATATTTTGGAGTGTTATTTAAAAAAAAGAAAAGAAAGAATATAGTGGCTTAAAATATCTAAATGCTCAAGGAAAGACTCCAATAGAAGAAGAGAGGAGAAAGTCAGCGGATGGCCGAAGCAAGACTCAGAAGCAACAGGAAATGTCAGCCTGCGCTCGGAGGGACACTGCTTTCCCTGGGGCAGGAAGGTTACTAGTGAAAATAAGTTGGTATCTGTGGGCAGGAAGTTGAGGCTCTCCTGTCCTCTGTCACAAAGTCTGTTCATTTTCATAGCTCTGGCTCCCACCTTCGTGCACACAATAGATACTTAAGAACTCTTTAATTAAAGTGTAGGCGAGGAAGGGGGAAATGAGCCAGGAAACAGTCATGAGGCCTGGGAAGGAAAGAAATCAGGCCGGTATTTGGAACCCTGCCTTTGGTGGCTTTGGCCGAGTTCCCTGAATGTGAACGCCAGCGCAGTGTGAGCCATTGTGCTGGGTGCCACTCAGTGACAGAAAGGACCAGCGCCCGGCTGGAGACCACCCTTTACACAATAAGGAGGCATTGATAGTTTTTGAGGAGGAGAGTACATCAAAATCCTTTGAGATGATTAACTTTTGTCGTGATTTCCTGATTCAACCTCATTAGCGAGAAGTAGACTTTGATAGATGATTTATATGTAAGCCCTGAGCACAGAAAACATTACCTTTCTGACAGTCCCTGTGGATCTCAGAACAGATTTGTTTTATGTGATCTCTCAGGCATTTTATTTATTTATTTATTTATTTTTTATCCTCACCCGAGGACATTTTTCCATTCTTTTGTTCAGATAGAGTGAGAGGGAGAGAGAGGAAAGAGAGAGAGAGAGAAACATCGACGTAAAAGGGACACATCGAGTGGCTGCCACCCGCACGACCAACCAGGGCCGGGGACAAACTGCAACCGAGGTACGTGCCCTTAGCGGGAACCGAACCCGGGTCTCTCTGTACCGCAGGCTGACTCTCTAAACGCTGAGCCAAACCGGCCAGGGTTCTCTCAGGCATTTTAACATCCATTTTTTTTATTTTTTTATTCTCACTCGAGGACATTTTTTCATTTGTTGTTCAGATAGAGCGGGAGGGAGAGAGAGGAAGAGAGAAAGAGAGAAACATCCATGTGAAAGGGACACATCGAGTGGCTGCCACCCGCACGACCCAACCAGTACCAGGGACAAACTGCAACCGAGGTACATGCCCTTAGCAGGAACCGAACCCCGGTCTCTCTGGACCACAGGCCGACGCTCTAACTACTGAGCCAAACCAGCCAGGGCTTAACATTCATTTTTATGCCACCTTTTCCTAAACTCCCAAAGTTGCTTAGCTATGAACCCCTGGGGGTAGGGATGATATCTTTTTTTTTTTTCCAATCCTTACCTGAGGATTTTTATTGATTTTTAGAGAGAGTGGAAGGAAGGGAGGGAGAAAGAGAGAGAGAGAGAGAACGAGAGAGCAAGAGGGAGACAGAGATTGATTACTTGCCTTCTGCACGTGCCCCGAGGGGGCCAGGGATCGAACCTGCAACCCTTTGGTCTGTGGGCTGATGCTCTAACCACTGAGAACACCAGCCAGGACCAAGGATGATACCTTATGCATCTTTGCATCCCTACAGTAGCTGATACAAGGAGGCAAATCAGGTGTAAAGGAAAAGCCTCCGATGTTGAATGGGGAGATCTGGGTTTGAACACTGCCATCGACTCCGTGACCCCTCCCCTCCCCCCACCTCGTCTGTGTCACCTGTACCTCCCCGTTTCCTGATCCACTCATCGGGCGGGTGGGATTCTAGCTGAGCCCAGTCACAGGCCTACTGCTGCAGCCTGGGCCCAGACCTTACTGGAACTGTGGGCGAGGCTGCATAACTGGAGGTATGAAGATGTGTGCCCAGTGGAGGGAGGGATTGGGCTCCTTTTCAGGAATCCTGTCTCCGGCTTTTAAATAGCTAGTTTTGAGTCTTCGCATCTTTTCAAGGAAAATTATGACATGTTAGTCCCTGAAGGTTTTGAAAGAGCTGCAACAATCGGCTGCCCTGTTTTCTGTAACGCGTTACTCACCTGGGCGCTGGGGAGTGGGTTAGCTGACCTCCTGTGGTCCTTGCCAATGCCAAACCCGCAGGAAATTGGGGACACGCTGTGCTGCCCTCCTGGGGGCCCAGAGAGGCCTCTCCTCCCCCACTTTGTCCTGGGCACTGGGAGGGGGTGGGAAAGGTTTTAGGACATCTGGCTTGCAGAGGAGGAAACAGCCACGTGTGTGCCTTCATGCGTGAAGGCATTGGGTTTGCCTTTATGAAAACATTCCTTTGTTTTGCCTTAATTATGAAGAAGCAGAAAGAGAGGCTAAATCCATATTCCAGACTGTTCATTGCAATTAGAGGTCTTCTTAGGTTAAATAACTGTGAGACTTATTTGGGGCATCTGGTACTTGCAGCCACGTGCTGCCAACAAACAAATCAACCAAGCAAGGCAGCCATGGCAACAAAGACAAGGCGCCATGTGAGCGCGTGCGCACCCTGCTGGGCTCGCGGGCGCCCCCGCAGGCGGGAGCAGCCAGGGCAGGTTCATGGGGAGCTAGGACCGAGCGCAGCAGCCAGGAGGGAGGGGCCAGCGGGGGAGTCAGACGTGGTCCGGAGTCGACACTGGTAGAGACAGTGGGGTATTCCAGGACAGGGGGCTGTCTGAACCTGCCCTGAGGAAGATGGTAGAGCAAGTTCTGGTTCAGGTGCCAGAGACTTGAATGTCAGCCCCAGCAATGCCACCAAATCACTGACCGACCTTCGGCAGCCACCCTCCCCACCCCTGTGAAGCCAGGGAGGCATCAATTTTATCCAGCATTGCAAGTCTGACTCCTAGGATAATGTAGGCACTCGATTACCGTCTGCCGGGTGAACGAACGAATGAACGAACCAACGAACCAACGAACGAATGAATGGACAAAGGAACAAATGAATGAACGAACGAATGAATGAACAAATAAATGAATGAACGAACGAATGAAAAAAGAACCGGACTAAGGAGAAATGGATGAACGAACGAACGAATTAATGAACAAATGAATGGATGAAGGAACAAGTGAACGAACGAACGAATGAATGAATGAATGGACGAAGGAACAAATGAATGAATGAACAAATGAATGAACGACTGAATGAATAAACAAACGAACGGAGGAAGGGACAAATGAACGACCGAATGAATGAATGAACGAATGAATATCAGGTGGGGAGGTGTCCTATAAAAACGTGGATCCCGAGTCAGACAGATTTCACTTTAAACTGTGGCTCTGTCTCTAACAGTACACTAGTGGGCAAGACATTTGGATGCTCTGAAGCTCAGTTTCCTCATCTGTAAAATGAGGATCTTAATATCTACCTTAAAGGTTTGTTTGGAGAATTAATGTAAAAGCAGTGCCCCAATATATTAAGGGGGGCAGTAAGTGGGAGACCTATGAAAATCATCATCACCGCTGCCCACAAACGCCAGGGGAGCTCCCTGACAGCTGTACCTGCCTTCTGCTCCCGCGACCCCTGTAGGGCAGAAGCCAACCCCACGAGGGCTTCTGGGTGGCTTGGAAGTGGGGTGGTCCATTCCTTCACTTGTCTGAAATAAGGCTTTTGGTGAAGGGTTCTCGAGCTTTAAAGGACATCAGCATCATTGGGGAGCACATGTTAAAATGGAGGTTCCCCCACTCTGCCTGCAGACACTCGGGTTCACTGGGGCTACACGGGTCTTGGGAGCCTGCCTTTTAGCTGGACCCCAGCTGATTCTGATGCAGAGAACCCAAGGACTACCCTTTGGGAAATTCTAGAATTTGACTCAGATGTCAACTCTGCCCCCAGCTCCCCGGGCACACTGGCCCGTCATCCACTCTCCGCCGCAGCATCTGGCCCGCAGCTCAGCAGTAGCTCCTACCCTGTGTCCACCTCCAGGCCAGCTTGTGAGCACCTTGAGGACCAAGACTGTGTCTTATTAGCTACGTGGCCCCAGGACATAGCACAGCACTTGGCATTAGTGACAGAAATGTCACCGTTGGTCTCTGTCCCCTAACCCACTGCCCTGCTGTGCTCCCCATTGAAGTGGCTGGTTATTTCCCTGGCTGCTCAGATCAGAAAGCTCGGGGTCATCCTGGACTCCTCTCTCACACGCCGCATCCCACCTGTCGTGGATCCTGCTGGCTCTGCCCCAGAAGGTCAGAATCCGACCTCTGCTGCCACTTGGCCGGCCCATACACTGCTGCCTTGTCAACAGCACCAGAGCCCTGCTGGGTCCCGCTCTCGTCACCACAGCAGCTGGGGTGACCTTTCCGTCCGTTGTTTTTTTAGGATGAACTTTTGAAACATGCCCGATTCCGTCTCTCTGCTGCACAAAGCCACCACGTCCCATTTCACTCGGAAGGGAATCCGAAGTCCTAACTGCGGCCATAGGCCCCACGTGACCTGCCGCCCCCCCCCCCCCCCCCCCCCCCCGCCCAGGCTGGGGTTTTTGTTTTTATTGTTCTTTGGATACATCAAGCTCACTCCTGTCCCAGGACCTTGAACTTGCCAGAGAGTGATGGGCTCCCTCCCTTCACGTAGGTCCCAGGTCTCCCACCGAGAGCTCTCAGTAGCCGGCCACCCTCCCTCACATCACCCTGGACAACAAAAAGGAACATCTTTCTGTTCTGGCTCAGAGATGGCAGGTTGTCTCTAAGGAATGACAGTGGGTCAGCAGCGGGTGGATTCGGTGGGAACCTCTGCTCCTCCTCCTCTGATGTGCTTTGGGCCAAGCCCGTTGCTACCTGACTGTATGTGATGCTCAGTGTACGAGGCGGTGAAGCCTTCCGGACTGAAGATCCGTAGGCCCGCCTCGGAGCCTGCAGGAGTGACAGCCCCCTGCGTGTGTGTGTGTGTGTGTGTGTGTGTCTGTGTGTGTAGCAGCTGTGTCTTTGGTAATCCTGACATATTTCTCTTTGCTTCCATAGGTCTTCTTGGGCCTACTTTATATGCTGAAGTTGGAGACACCATGAAAGTTCACTTTAAAAATAAGGCAGACAAGCCCTTAAGCATCCATCCTCAAGGGATTAAGTACAGTAAGTTCTCAGAAGGTAAGAGGAATGGTCTATCCCTCACTTTGGTGTCAGCGAACCCTGAGTCTGGTAAATGTGGGAACTGTTGCCCTTGCAAGTTTCAGAGAAGAAAATGAAATCGTTGGGTGGGCAAGTGACCTGATCTCTCTGAATTCCAGTATGTTCATCTGCAAAATGAGCATGATCGTACATACCTTGGAAGGTGGTTTATGGCAGGGGCCTGCCAACTTCTCTGTGAAGAGCCAGAAGGGAAGTATGTTTGGCTCTGCGGGCCAGGCGACCTCTGCTGCAATGACTCAGCTCTACCTGTTAGCACAGAAGCAGCCAAAGGCAATATATATATATAAGTGAACGAACATGGTTGCGTCCCAATAAAACTTTATTTACAAAGAAAAAGGAGCTGGCTGGATTTGGCCCATGAGCCATAGTTTGAAATAGTGACATAGGACAATTCTGGCACACAGATGACAATAAGTGGTATTTTGATGTGGGACATAGGGAAGTGGTTAAAAACATAAGCGTTGAGGGCAGACTTAGGTTCAGATTCCAGCTGTATCATTTCTGGCTAAATGACCTTAGCATCCCTGAGCCTCAATTTTCTCATCTGTCAAGTGGGAATGGTGATACCCAGTCCTTAAGATTGCTCTGAGGGTTAAATGAGGTTGTTTAGGTAGTGTGCTAAATAAACATGGTTCCTGGGGCCTGGTGAGCCCTCAGGAAAGGATGACAATGATGATGGTGGTGGTGGTGACAGCGAAGACCCTGAGGACGATGGAGACAAGAGAGACCACATCAGCCACAGGATAGAAAGTACCTGTTGTTGACACCGTTCTGATTATTTCTGATTATTTCCATGCTGCTGTCCAGACCACAACAGGCCGAGTCGAGTTCTGTTAGGATCTGATAGAAGAAAATGGGATCCATACTGTAATACTGTTAGTGTACTATAATGTTAGGAATGACACTTAAAAATAACTTCAGATCATTCATGATTCTCAAGTCTTCCTTCTCCCATATGTTCCGCCCGTCGTACCCTTGGAGAGAGTAATTGAGCTGGAGAGCAGTTCAGTTGCAAACCCTGGCTCAGACACTGAGGGACTTTGGGAAGGTCACTTAACCTCTCTGTGCCTCACCATTCTCATCTTTGAAGTGACAATAATCATGCCTTATTCGTATAGGTTGGCTGTCATGAAATCTTAAAACAACGCCTAGCATATAATAAGCACCTGATAAACATTAGCTATGATGATAAAGGTAACTCTTCAACCAAGATTTGTTCAAATTATATCGGTTATATCACAACTCAATTTTTAAAAACTGTGTTCAAGTAATTTAATATTTAGCTGACAGTTTATGGATCAGAAAGTGACGTTTACGTCTATTATTTCCTGGGGAAATGACGGTCAAGCGTTCCTACGAGGTGGTGATAAGAGGTCAGTGAACGCCCTCCCGGACATCCATGCTCAGCACTTCATCCTGGGCTTGAGGGAAACAAGGAAGCATTAACTGAAATGTCAGGCACCTTAAAGGGCCAGTTTGGCAAGAGTCTGGGTGAGGCAGCACGCGAAGGAGTCTCTCCTAGGTCCCCCAAATCGTACGCTGACAGAACCACTTAACCTACTCAGGAGGCGTCCAGATGACTGCATCGGGAACTCGGCACTGTGGTGCCCGAGGGGGCCCTCAAAATGCCCCGTGCGCGTTCCATTTCAAATGTGGCAGGAGGTGAGGGCTGTGGACTTTGTGTTCCGAGCTGGGCTGTTTGCACAGGAAACAGGCCTTGCGACACTGCCCCTCTTCCTGTTTGTTCGCCCCTCCACCCGCCCCAGCCAGCAACCCCTGTGGGCAGAGGTTTAAAATGCTTCCTCCACTGCCACGGGCTTGTTGCCCCGGCTCCACGGGTCTCAGAACGGGAAACGCAGACTGGGGGGACAGTGGATGTGGTCTTGGAAATGATGGAAATCTAGTCGATACAGAAAGCGTGTCCCTCGTGGTAAAAGGCCAGCCTGCGCGTTCTCTGCGCCTCTCGTTTGAACGGCACACCTTCTCCGTGTGGACACGCCCCGGAGCCTCCTGCGGTGGTCGCATGCCTTGTTCGGGAGTGGAGATGACCGACATGCTGAGCTAGCTGCGAGAGAACCCCGATTTCTCTAGCGCAGAGGTAGACAGTTGGAGACGGGTGGTGGGAGGTTGAGACAAGTAGTGGGCTGAGAGAGGACTCGATCCTTGTCCTTGTGGCTCCTTCATCTAACCAGAGAACCAAAACGACCTAGGCAGCAACCTGCTTATCGGGGAGTCCATCTCTGAGCCTCACCCAGGGTCTGGAACCTACTCCCATCATCTGGAAGGAAGCAATAACCCTGGAAAGAACACCAGCCTTAGAGCGGAACGGCCTAGATTTGAGCCCTCAGTAAACTTTGGCAATTTCCTTAACCACTAACCCTCAGTTCTGCGTCTATCGAATGGGAACAGAGAGTCCTTCCAGCTAAGGTCACTGCAAGGATCCGTCATAATGTAGGTACAGTTCTAGGCGCACAGTTGGCACACGACATTGCTGGCTGTGGTCATCCCGTGGCTATTTATGGTCCAGGCATTAAAATTTTGTTTCTAGAAGTTTCGATTGATTGGAGGCCTTGGCCTTGGAGAGGGTCATCTACTCGAGGGAAATAAAAACTCTGCCCTAGAATTCCGACGCCGCAGTGAACCAAACTGGCACAGAGAACCACAGGTATCCCGGCACAGAAGGAATAAGTCATTTTGAATAGTTGCATTTTCCAGCTGGTTTGAGGTTTACTTCAGGTGCCTAAGATATTTTCTTTTAATTATTTTGGGTGGGAGTCTTTCTCAAGGGTGCACTTCCCCAGGCCCTTTTAAAATAGCGGATGAGATGCAAAATTCGAATCGCTCTCTAAGCCGCACCTCCGGTCTACCGCGAGATGTTACAGCCTTCCACGCCGTCCGAAGTGTGCAGTCTGACGCCCCAGGCTCCGAATGAAAGCCTGGAGCTTGTCTGTGCCACTACTTACAGGCGGAGACCCTGAGCTTTCATGCACGGACGGTGTGCATCACTTTGTAACCAGTCTCCATGGCTCTCTTTGGAATCCTTGGCTGTTCTCTGTTCAGGAGATGGCTGGAAATCTGAGTTCCGGACAGGAAAGGTGTCATTGTGCTTGGTGTGGAAGGCTCACGCGGGCCTGTCATCCACAAGTTGGCAGCATTTGACATCAGTTGTCCCCCCTGAGAGCAACTTGAGGGCAGGCAGGGCAGGGGTGAGTGCCCCTGGCAGGACAGACACATCGTGCTTTGTAAAAATGCTGACAAGATCATTTCCTTACAAAATGTATCTAATAGCAAGAAAGATGTTTTGAAATTGCAATCGCAACTGTACCTACATATCTTAAAAACTTTCTGCCACTGAAAGAGTTTTGGTTTGAGGCGGAAGTTTCAGAAACTTTGTAACCAGCCCTCAGTGACTGATCAGAGCGCTGCACTTGGGGCCGATTCTGTTGTTCACTAAGGTCGCTGAAGATCTTTGTGCAGTTAGCTTTCGAAGTTTGTTTCAGAGTGAATCTTAACATCATCTTTTTACTTGATTTATATTTTCATATTTTAAATGTGTGAGTTGCATTATAATTACTATAGTACAAAATTCTGTAATATTCAGCTTTCTGCTGGTAAGCTGACTCTCTGAATTAAAAATAAAAAAAAATATTTTTCCATTAATTTTTTTTTTTAGTGAAGGGAGGGAGGGATAGATAGTGGCAGGGAGGGAGGGAGAGAGAGGGAGAAAGAGAGAAACATTGATGTGAGAGAGACACATCGACTGGTTGCCCCACACATCACCAGACTGGGGCCGGGGTCAAATCTGCAACCCAGGGACATGCCCTTGACCAGGAATGGAACCCAAGACCCTTTGGTCCAAGGATCAACTATCTAACCACGGAGAAAACCGGCCAGGGCACATTTTTCACTTTTTATCAGAATATTTTGGCCTAATATAGGAACTTCTTTGAGTCTATGGGAAGTGCCTGAGACGAACCGTAGGATAATTCTTGTCAGTCTCAACAACGTGAGCCCCCTTCAGACGAGAGCCGCACGCCCTGCGCTCGGGGGCCAGGCTCTGCAGGACACACCTGCGCCCGATCCCCATCGCCTAGATGGAAGCGTCGAAAAGCATCTGGAACGTCAGTGGCTCCCTGCAGCGTTCGCTCGTGTGTTAGCCGGACAGGAAGACCGCTCAGGACAAACCGCAAGGGAGGGTTTCACGAACGAGCACCCTGACGGATGACCAAAGGGGCTGGCTCTTCGTGTAATTTTCACCTTCCCAAACCTGTACACCCAATTTTACATTTGGGAAAAAAAACAAAAAAAAAAAACTACTGAGAGCCTTTGGACAAATAATTCATTCACCATGACAAGAGTAAACAAATTATAGAGCTGACTAAGGACTGGGCAGGAAGTGAACAGAATTGAGTCAATAGAAAATGAAGGGCGACCCTTGTGTAAAGAATTTATTCTAGCAAGAAGCTGAATAAGGACTTCTTGTGCTCTAGCACAATGGTCTTTCCTGTTCATGTCTCTTCTTTTCAGCCAAGACTTTTAACTTATTTTGATTGCAAAGTCAAAATTAGATTTACCCAAAATGTGTTTCATAAATGCTTCCCTAAATAGCTGTTTATGTTTGACCCCTCCTATTACGTAGGTTGAAAAATCAGGGATAGCCTGTTTTATTCTAATTGTAAAATAAGATGCCTTGAGGTGAAAAGAAAAAAGCATTGACAAAATTATCCCTACGCTCTCTCTTAATAACCCTAACTCACTATAATAACTCCACGTGTAAGTATCTATCTCCACGTATCCCTCTATATTGTTCACTACTTGTGTTGAGATGCCCACAATTCACCTTTGAATAGTACCATAACCTTAAAACCACTCATTCAATCATTTGAAATGTGTTTAACTAATATATGACTATGGAATTCTCAGTAATTTACTTTGGTCAACTGGATGAACATTTATAA